CCCATATTGACGCCCATGTTGCCGCCCATTTGACTACCCATATGACCAAAGCCTTGCTGAGAATGACCAGGCTGTGAGTACTCGTAACCCTGTGTATTCAAGGGACCAAACGAAGAAGGAGCGGGCATGTTCGGACCCATCATACCAATATGCTCCTGACCGCTCATACCAGATTCCGCGTACGAACCCATCTGGATCTGCCTATCAGAAGACAAAGTACGATCATAAAGCATGGCCTGGTCACCAAACACCTTCTTGTCCGTCTCTTTCGGAGCATTGCGGTTCTCGATCTCCTTCAGGTACACAGCGTCATAGAATCCGGCGCCGGGCGTCACAGTCTTGATAGGTCGACTAGCTGCATCAGCGAAGCTCGTCAGCGAGGCGAATATTTTGTCGGCGGCGGCGCGCTCGCTGGAGAATGAGGTCGAGAGGCCACTGCTGTTGTACTGCATTCCACCATTGGGACCGACGTTTGCGCTCAGCTTGTCGTACACGTTGGTTCCTTGGGCGGTAGGTACCGCAAGGAAAGTGGGGTATGAGCTAGTGTGACTAGAAGACTGATTGCCAGCGCTGGCAGAGGCTTGGTTCTTGGGGTGACCGGAGGCGGAATAGAGAAGGTTGCGGATTTGTGGCTTGCTCAGATTGTCATCGACGGCCTTGTACTTTCCCTTGTTGACGGAAGCGCTCTGACCTGGATACTTGGTAGTTGCCGAGTCGGCGCGAGGTGGAGTTGGTGGCTGGTCGACACGCGGGGCAAAGATTGAATCATCATCGTCCTCGAACCCCTTGATGCGATCCTGTTCCTCCTTGTACCTTAAGAGGTGAGGTGGGAGAACGAGATTTGCACGTCGCTCCTCCTCCTGAAGGGCTATTGCCTCGCGAAGCTCCTCGGCGTCGAACTCTCTGTATGGGACCATTCCTACCGGCACCAAATTTTTTTGAGTCTCATCGACCTTCTCGGTATCCTCATAGCCGGTCCCTTTCTTCGTCTCCCAAGGCTGACACGCCGGTCCGTCGTAAGGAATGTGCGACAAGTCTACCAACTTGTGTACCGCCTTGCGATTCTCGAGCACCTTGCCCTGTACGGTCGTTAGTATGCTGTTACTCCGAACTAAGCACAAGAGAGGAAGGGTCGAATGATACTGACTTTCAGATTCTCCTCGCCGGCATTCTGGTGGATCCCCCAATTACGCTTTGGGTCGAATGGAGCGCTTTTATCATAGCCGCCCTCCCGTCTCCACGGGGATCCCGCGTTCGGAGCATCATTTCCCTTGTTAGTCATGATGTAATCAGCCTTCAACTTGCCCTGAACGGTCTTCATGAGCTCCTCCGATATCTCCAGCGCCTTTTCCTCGAGACCAATATTCTTGAGGTGAGCTACGGCCTCCGCCATTCGTTCATCAAATGTCTTCGCAGCAGCCTGCGGAGCAGTGGGCGGGGTGAACATGCCAGAGCTAGCCATTGTTCGCGGAGGTACTTGCAAGTTGCGGGTGTTGGTGTTGTGGTTGGGATTTTCCATGCTGTCGTTGGCGTTGCTTTGCGAAGATGAGATCGGAAGAGGAGTTGTTGACTCGGTGATTTCCAAGGTGAGCTTGCTCTTGATAATTTGGTCATCGGCTGTGTGGCCAACCACAGGCGAGAACGCCGATGCCGACGACGGCACGTCGAGACCCGCCGAGAAGCGAACGGGTGGACCAAACGCGAACTCGGGACTCTCTTTGCTCTGCGGGATGGTGGTTTGGGGCACCCGGGGCACTCCTGGGGCACTGTTACTGCCGTTGGAAGATCCGGAGTAGACGGGCCCGTAGTTTGCGATGTTTTGATACCTAGATCGCGATCCTGATTCTCGATCTCGTGCTAATATTGCTGCAGTATGTCCGCCTTGGAGAGCTGCAGTGCCCGAAGGGCCGCTGGAGTTCAGCTGTGCGTCTTCGGGGCGTCTCTTGCCGCCTCGGTACGCTGAGACACCAGTACCCATGGATTTACGCTCGCTTTTTCTCATCGCCCGCGGAGCCGTAGGGGTCCACGGGCTTATCCCTGCCTTGCGGAGGGTAGCGTTCTGCTCCTGGATCACGCGGAGGACTTCCTGGCGGTTTTGGGCTTCGACTTCTTCAGCTGGCACAGCTGTTCCTACCTCAATGGCTCGGTAGCCGTCGCTTCTGGAGAGCTTGTGGTTTGGGGAGGGATCTGGACCAGCAATTAATGCGTATTTATTACTGTTCTTCTCTTCCTGGTACTGCCGAGCAGCTTCTTCGCGCCTATACGGCACAGATCTTGCTGTCAGTTTGCTTTTCATTCAACGTTTCAGGAGCAAGTAAGATAGTTCAAGGCACTTCTTGGAGCCACTTGCAATTCTTGGAGCAAGTGGCTCCGAGACAGCACAGAAGCGGGAAGAAGGTGCTGGGAGGGTTACATACCAAACAGGTCCCCGCAGTTTTACCCTACCATGTTCCATGGTAGATGTTAAACGTCTATGTCCCCTCGGAGTAGGTGCCGGGGCAGATCCAGGTAGTCCACCTGGAAGACGCCCAGCGACCGAATTGACAGACTGGATCCCAGCACCAAAGCTTCCCACCGGGGAGGCCGATTTATCAATCGAACCTGGCTTTCCTCCATGGCCAATATGTCGAAACTTCAAGAACAGATGCCCGCCAGCCACTAAGTCACCTCTCTCGGGGAAGTTCGATATCAACAACTTTTCTACCGTCGTGACTTTGACAGCCGTCAAGGCATGACCAATATTCCCGTGCAGATTATCAGCGAGTATTTTGCGGCATAGCGCGATCCAGTACTGTTCCATGTCCTGGCCAATGTTGCCACTGTCGTTAACCTCGTTCCAGGCCACCCAGCAGGTACCAGACTCGACGTCATCCGAAGAGAAGGGGATCCCGCCTTGTAGCTTCCCCTCGATCTTGGGTAGCAGGCTCATCAGGTTTGGCTCCGCATAAAACTTAACGTGGATCCCGTGCACGAGGTAGTGCTTTCTAGGGGTTAAATCACGCTGTGGGTTCGTGTTTAGGAGCTTCTGGAGAGCGATGATCATTTCCTTAAGGTTCGTGATCATGGTGACGACTGTGCTGTGGATTGGGGGCATGAAGTTCCTGCCCGGGCTATAGAACAGTACCGGGACTGTAGGTTGAGGATAAGTCAGTAAGTGTTCCCATATCTATATTATATCTGAAGAGGAGCAGGAGTCTGTGAATCTTGGGTCCAAGCGATCATCTGACAGGAAAGGCAATCCCTAGTTACTGCACATACCTCGTGCCGTGGCCGACATGGGCAAGAAGAGCTGAGACGTGTTGGCCTTTACCAACCGTCGCGCAGCTAGATACTGGTTCTGGAATGGCGTCATCGGCTTTGCGCGTCCCGATTCCTCTTTATCCAATGCTACTTCATCCTCATCCGCGGAGTAGATGTCCGGATACTCCAGATCATATTCAGCACGGGGAGGGGACTCTCTAGGGCGATTTTGCATATGGGAGATCGGGGGCGTGGGCTTTGATGATTCCGCCATGATCTTTGTAAATCCAAGCAGCAGCACTGCGTGCGATGAGTTGCTAGATGGGAATTGAGTAGCAATGGGTTGTGTGGTGATGGTAGGGGTGGTTGAGGAGATCGGAAACTGAAAGGAGGAAGGAAAATTGAGATCGAGTTGTGTCGTTGTGTCGGCGCGGCTCTCGTCTTTAAAAAGAAAATTGGGATGGTGGTTGTTATTGACGCGCTAGAAGGTGCTCGCTCGGCTATCCCTTTTGGGTTTAGCCGGTGGACGCGGTGATATGATATTGTGTAGTATAGTGTAGTTGGTAGGAAGAGGGCGCTGGGGAAGCTCTTCTACTTTCTACTGTCTACTGTCTACCGTCTACCGTCTACCGTCTACCGTCTACCGTCTACCGTCTACCGTCTACCGTCTACCGATAGAAGGAGAGGGATAGTATAGGAGAGTATATAATAGGCAGGAAGGTACAGAAATTTTATCGTGAGAGCATACAAAGTAGATAAGTAAGTAAGTAAGTAATATTGGTTGGAATCACAGATGCAGACTTGGGAATACATATACCGGTATACATTTATTGCTTCGGCACGAGAAGACATACATACTTGGAGGAGAGGGAGAGGGAGGGAGAACTGATGAGTAGCGGAAAATGGTTACTCAGAAGGGCCGAGCTGACTTGATTGGATAAAGAGAGAGAGACAGAGAGAGAGGTGGGGATTCTTTTTGAATGATTGATTGATTGATTGATTGATTGATTCTGTCGGCGGCAATGCTTGGAGCTCAGGGACATGAATAACGAGCTGCCCACCGAAAGGAAAGAAAGAAAGGGGCGAAGTGAAAGAAAGGTGTGAAATTTTTAATTTTTCTTCATTGATCGTATCATATCATTACAGTCAGTTACTATCTACTTCCTTGGGATTGAACTGATTGATTAATTGATTACATGCGCTGATTGTTGTTGTTTTTTATAGATCTCTTGTATATTCCTATAATTCTATAAATCTATATCTCTAGCCTTTTGATGTGATAATATTGATGGGTGCTGTCCTATTGATGTTGATAATTTCTTTTGTAAAGGGGGGGGAGGGGGCTTTTGGGGTTTGGGGTTTGGGGTTTGCTACGCGTAATTTAGGGGAGAGGGAGCGCGCTTTTGATCGAGATGCTTCTGATTAAGTGAGGAGAGGGGGGGGAGGAAGGAGGGACGGGGGGAGGAGAAGATGGGGGTGGGGGCGGGATGGTTTTTAGTTTGGTTATGATTGTTTTGATGGTTATGGTTGTTGTTGTTGTTGCGAGTTTCTTTTTTGAGGGAGGGATTTCGAGGGAGGATAGTGGATATTGGGTTGATCTGGGGGGAGGATCTGGATTAGGAGACAGCGGGTTTGGGGGAGGGGGGAATATGGAGATTAAGGAGGAGGAATTGGACTGGATTGGACTGGAGTGCAGGCGAGAGGGCGGGGAGGTAAGTTAAACAAAGGAAGGAAGGAAGGAAGGAAGGAAAGCTGCTGAATGGGCGGATGCTGGAGGCTGGAGATTGGAGGGAGATTAAGGAAGAGAATGGAATAGGATGGAGCGGCTTTGGGATTAATAAGAAGGCTATACAAATCGTTCAGGGGCGGAAGAAGACGGTGAGTGGGTATTTACGGGTTGTTGGGAGAAGGCGAAGGGAAGAAGTTAGGAGTAGAAGACCGATGTTTTTTTTCACGTTGCTTGCGGCTAAACTTAGGATCTTTATCAAGAGAGGAGTTCCGATGAGTGCTTGTAGGACTTTTGCTTTGGCCGAGGCAAGATAGAGTAAAGGGAAAGGCTGGGCTGGAGGAGAGCGGCGGAGAAGATGATTTGGTTAGTTTGTGTCATAGATGCCGTTGGGTTTTTGGAGGATTTCCTTGAGAACCTTGTGGATTCTTTAATTGCTTTTGTTGAAGAGATATCCCTGTGAATACGGTAGGTAGTAGATAGTATCGCTATTGTGCCTGATTAACAGGGATTTTTTGAATATCATCCAGTGCCGTAAGAGGTATATGTATGTACTTTGCACGTTTTGGATAAATATGAGTGAAGTGTATTTATTCCTATTTTGGTATTTTACTACACGCGATATGATTTGGTCCAGCTCAGGTCGCGAAGATACGATCTATTTCTTCCATCTAGTGGTAAGCGGCCCGGTACTTGAAGAGGCATGTTGCTTTCTAATGCACATTGCAAGGAGCCTCGATTGGCTTATTCAAGGGGTATTGAGAAGAAGTCTAGGCCTTTGAGCAAACGCACAGCAAAAGACAGGTAAGCGTTCAGGCTATTTGAGTATACCTCGACCCGAATACTAGCAATAAGATACAATAGATCTCAACCAGCGAAGCTGCGTACTCGTAGTAGTGTATTCACTCAAATCAACTACACTATCTCAATAATGTTCGATATACAGTCGAGGTAGATTTATATACCAATCCCCTTCCGACCCTCGCTCTTGAATAAGCACAGCCTCATAAATAACTATGAGCATTCTATGCTTGCGCTAGACTTGCCGACTATGTAACCCGTATAAGTATTTTATTCCTGTTTTCCTGCGATTATTTACTCTGAAATAACTCTTTACCTATGATATTAATTCGCTTCAAGCCTGGGAAGAAAAATGTAGAGGTGGAATTGCTAATCGGAATGACTGCAGTGGATCAAGGGTCCGATATCACCTTGATGTCACCCAGCCTGCAAAGAAACTGAACCTGAAGGTGAAGAAATTAGCCTCAGTCAACTAGCAGACAAAGAAGTCCAGAAGCTGGAAATTTTTATCATGGTGGAAATTGGATTGGAAGGAAATTGGAGACAGGTTGATGTTCTCATCAGAGAGGCATCGGAGATGCAAGACACAGAACTGAGTCTACTACTGGGCCTAACATGGATGAACATGGTGGATGCCAGGCTTTAAATCCTCGCTGGGAGACTGAATATTGGTGGGAACGCGCCTGGTCCTCATATAAAGGATTTGTAGTGCTGTGCCAAGATCTTCTCGAGTCCCCTAAAAGGGAAGTGGGGGTGTCGGTATCACAGGTACCGAATGAGAAGTACGAATATTCTGGTGGTTCCAAGTGTATTCGTGAAGCCCAAAGAGGCTCAGCTATACTAGCTAAGTGAGAGCTATATGCTGGTGTCAAGGCCGGCTACCTAGTGTAGCCACGTGACCTTGGATGCCCATGCCCTATATTCCCACAGGGGGTAAACAAGCTAAGCGAGCGCGGGGGCAAAAAATCTCTATCGATGACAGCAGCGACATAAGAAACAGAATAACCGGCTTGACAGTAAGCCCTAGCATAATAAACAAGTATCTGGGCTTGCTACCTGACGATAAGGCTCTTGCCTTCGAATCAAATGGCTCTGAAACCAAGACACTGGCTATCAATGTTGATTACCCAGTAAGCATCGGTAGGTAAATTTAGTATGAACAAATGATTGACTTGCTGGTACACCTGATGTTTGTTGTTAATTTGTTTTATTTATTAACCCTTAGCGGGTTATCTACATGAGTGGCATTTAAACATTACTATCCTACATATGATATGCTGGCACTACAGCAATCAGATATTGTGCTTGGCGTTGGTGGAGGCACGTGACTAACAGCCCGGGCCCAAAAAATATTAAATAGAGAGTTTATAAGTGAATGTTAGAGCCTTGGCGAATCGATTCGATTGACATTATTATTGAGTGCGAACCTCGTTTGAAGCATTACTTAAATCATAAAGTCTATAGTAAAGATCTTTACGACCGCAATTACCGTCCTTTGTTTTTATAATCAGTTAGTTAGTTCGTTAGTTTGCCCTTGACTCTAAGATCAAGGTGAGTAGTTGAGGGCAAATATTGGCCTTGATTTGATTGCTAGCTGACTTGTTTCATTCGTTATGATAGTTATATTCCAGTTAGATTAAGGTTTGGATGCCGGAAAAAGGTCAGGGCGGGGTGCAAGAAAATATCTTCACATAATTTTGATTAGCTCTTATCGATCTAAATTGAGAAAGAGCGGTAAGTCGATCCAAGTGCGCTCGCTTACTTTAGCACGTCGCCGTACGCGCCATAACAATACAGACCTGATTCATTTACATTCGGAAGAATTTATCGAGTACTTCTCTCGAATCAATATCAAAAAATTCAAAGGAGCGTGCAATATAAGCGAAGCCAAATTCCAGCAAGAGATGGAGGACTGGGTGTCGGTAAGCAATAGCCGTAATACGTTCACACGCTTCCTTTTTCATTACAGTAGTCAACAACGGAGGTGCCAATATACTGACCCGGACAAGAATCGTTTACGAGTTCATATACTTACTTGCGAGAGAGGTCCCAGGGCGGCAGGCTCCACCCGTCACCCGCCCGACGTTTATAAATACAACACCAACAATAACAACAACAACAACAACAACAGCAGCAGCAATAATGACCCTTTTCCAAGGCGTGATTCGTGCTTTATATCTATGTTTGTTAGCCGGTACGAAATAAGGCGTACAATCTTCATATGTTTAGAATAGCACCGAACAAAAAAGTATCTACAATACGTGTTCTCTGCTTATGCACCACGACATATATTGGTGACGGCCGCGCCCATAGTCGAAGCAATGATTGGAACTTATCCTTGAAGCAGAGCAGATTCGAGCTGCCGTAAAACTACTGTAGTTTTTCTTGTACCTCCAGCTCCGACAATAGGGAAGATACTTACAGTAATTCTCCTCGCTACTATTGATTCTTTGAGTCAACATTTACTTTGCTAAACTTTAATTTGTTTATCTTAGCCTCCCAAACCAAGAATCTTGGCTCCTAAAATTTCGCGGAACCTTTCGCCCTTTGTTTTATTTCTAAACTCAGGGTCAGATGAACCAAGTAGGGTGGTTTTCAGCAGTGCAAGGCAAGATACCAGGACGGAAGGTGTTACGGTCCTGGCTGCCTGGTTGGTTTGTGCTTTGTCATCGGAGGTCATGTGACGCGGCCGCTCCCGCAGCCGCCTCTCACATATATCCTCAGACCTGTATTGTAGTAGTTCTTAGTTCTTTCCTTCCTCGTCTTTCTTTCTCATTACCAAGCGTACAGATTGGTAGCTACTACAAGACTACCTCTTCTCAGCCGTAACAGAAGAAGTCATGTAAAGCATTTACCACCGCGAGCTCATCGACGACCACCATCCCGTGCCATATCATGATTCCATAGTAATGCAGAAACTCACAGCCTCCGATTTTACAAGCAAAATCGCAGGAACTTTTGAGGTAGTAGAGAAAGGGAATAGAAGAGAGAATGTTTAATCGGAACCAGGCCGATCTACTACAATGACTGAGGAGCAAGAGCCTACAGAAATCAGGCTAGAAACATGTAGAAACTGAAAAAGACTGGACTAATCAATTTAAAGCCAGTAAATATGTAAAATCATGTAATCAGAAAATATATAAGTCATTCCATGGCGAACACCGATGATAGATCAAAAATTGCGCTACCTTCGAAGCCGGCGATATCTCGACAGTAAGAAGCTACTCAGAGCCATAAAGACCGACAGCAATATAATTAATGATAGTAAAGCTATACTTTTCCCGTGCAATAAAGGAGATGAAATATATTATCACAGTCGGATTATTGCTGAAAGTTGCCCAGCGGCCAGCTGGTCTTTTACTGCTTGGGAATCCGCGGATCTTGAACAGCTCGCGAACTCTACACCATTGTGCAGATCACCGTAGCGCGAAGAGAAACATGTCATCTCGCCATCTTGGGGAGTTTTTTTTCCTTTTGCGAGCGCCACTGGTATTTAAGCACCTATGGTAGCCTGTTTAGTCCAAGGTCGCGACTGCTAACAAATCAACAGCCCATCTACCTTTGCATAATCAAAATCAGGCTTGGGTAACCGTTACATTCAGGGAGGTGTGTATAAAACATATTTTTACGAGTGCAAGAACTCTACCGACATCCTCCGGGTCAGATGCGCACTTTCCAGTGCCACTGATACGTTCACTGCTATAGTCAGGAATTTCTCAACCCTTTCTCAGCTCAGCTGAGCTATCAGCGACGTAGTATTATCTAAGAGGAGAAGTGGTAAATAATATGCGATTATATTTCGGAAGAATTATATAATGTTTTCCTTCTGCTGCTACTGCTGCTGCTGCTGTCACTGCAGTAAAAAATTCAATTTCCACTGATGCTAAAAGTCCACAGCCGACAACAGTATTCTCCATATCTTACTCTTAAGGCTCTATATCTCGAGCATATACTTTAACTTATAGCAGTCTGACCTTTGGTAGCAATATATCCAAACCTTGAATATCGAATTCCTCCTCGGCTTTCTTACCACTTGATTGACGTGGCAAGGTCACTCCGTTTGCCCTTCGAGGACCTCTTGGTTGGTGTAGCTAAAACCCTCCTTGTAATTAGAATTACACTCCATGATATGATCCCCATCGTTCTACCCTTGAGTGTGGTGGATGAAGCGGACCTTAATGCGTGGCTTCTTCGAATTGAGCATCTCGGCTGCTTTATTTATAACGGGATTCGAGGTGGCTTCGAAGCTATCCGTCGTTCTTCACCCAAGACCTACAGCGTTCTTCACCCGATGCGGTGATACAATTCGTAGTGTCATTCCACAGACACTCGGAGCCAAGGAAACCCCTCTATCAGGTCATATTTCATACAATGGCGCAGACTCTGGAAAAGCCCACTAGCTTTCAAAAACCACCCTGCATCATAGCTCCAGTATGAGGCCTCCTCCAATATTGAGCCAAGAAATTGCCTCGTGAGTTATTACTTGCTCGGTTTCAATTGTTGGATTGACCGAAGTGATTCCAACAGACGTCAGCCTATAAAGCCACCCCCATATCCTGATATAGGAGCTCGTGGAATGGTAATTATTTGCTAATCGACTTTGGGTTTTGGACGATTGAATACCCAGAATCTTAAATCCTCCAAACCCCTTGACAACCAAGCGCCAGCACCAACTAAACCCGGTCCCCGATTTCTCAGGCGACTTTAGGGAAGTCTCTAGAGCCATGATTTAAGGAGTAGTGTGCAACGAATGATATTCGGTGATAGCACTGAGGTGATTGACAGCCAACAGATTTTGAGAGGACTTTAAAAATCGAAAACCTGGACGTCTGTATATATCGATTTAGCTATTCGGCGATTGTATCTTGGTACCATCACGTGGAAATGTAGAAAACGAAGTTCGATGGCAGCTCCAAGTTCGTGTCGTTTTAGAATTTGAGATCGTGATAACCCCAAGTGAGGCATTCTCCTCGCATTATTTCAAATACTACCTCCTGGAGTTTCTGACTGAATGCCGTTTTCGTCTTCGGGATTGCCCTTCAAATGATATTTACTGCCTTCTCGACCATGCTAGTAGACCTTGAAAACGCCCGAAGGGAGTTCATCCATAGTACTCCTCGTTCTCGTACAAGCTCCCGGACTATATCGTCAAAGTGACTCCTTAGATCTATGCAAATTCTCGCAGAAACAGTTTTCAAACTTCAAACCACTTACTCCAAGCTCAAATTCGGACACGCAGGTACTTAGATATATACCTTGAGAAGTAGACGACGACAAGGAGTAGGTATTTACATGCGTCTGGAACTCCAGGGAGAAATTCACAGAAGTCTGCAACAAGAAGTTCCGTGGGCACAGACAGCCGCTACCCTTGTCCCGGAAAGGCAAGAGCGAGATCAATGGAGACATCCTCTTGCATCAAACTATCTAATTACAGCGAGATATATAATAGCTTCAAAATAATCGGGAGCTTTTATACAGTGATTTTGTCTGGATTTCATCGCTGCAATTGACTTTCTGGCTTACTGACTGGGTCTTGGATAATTCCACTATTCCTTGCCAGCAAAGATGAGAACGAGATTCAAGATTGGAAGTAGTCATCACCTTTAGAAGGACTGACAGTACAGTGGATGAATAGATGAAGTAGCCACACCGGAATTTGATTTGCTCGCATATACACGAACCTTTCATCTGGAATTATGAAGTTATAGAATTGTATATCACATCTTCCATTTTGTATTCCTGGCCACTTTATGACGCCGGCTCTTCATCAGACGACTAGATACAAAATGCTAGTATGACCTTCTACGAGACTTCAATTACAGTAGGCAACATTCAACACTCGAAAATTACAAGAGAACAAGGTAATCCAAAGCATTTTCCCAGTCGACAGGGAGAAAATCATTCTCGAACACAGACGCGGCAATTGATCTACTCACAGCCGACAAGACTCCCATCACTAGCACCTTTTTTGCTCCCTCTTTTCATACACAGAGCCACTAGACTTTAATTAAGGCGTAGCTGGAGCTAGTAAAACTAATTTCGTGCTGCAACAACTCTGTATCGTCTCATAAAGCGTGCCCTTCATACCACTACATAGACTCAAAAACTACCGCCACATCCCAAGCTCCGAGGCATCATTATTATAAAACCAGGCACGACGCGTCAGATTTGCTTCTCCGATTAAGCGTGTCTTACGAACAGAGGCTGAAGTATCAAGGCACCTCTCTTCCACTCCATCAACTTTCGTGAACTCATGGAAGTCAAGAAGGCACCACGCAAGAAGAGATAGCTTACCATAGAGGTGACTCGAAAAGAGAGGCACTCTCACCCTCTTCAGGAAATCTTCAAGCCTTTAATCTCCAGACTGAGTTTGCAGCCTGCTGCCACGCTTGCGAAAGATGCTTCCATGGATATTGATAGCAAGAGACTTAATGACAGCGGAAACACAAAAATACGAGATATTATCGCAAAGGATGGTCAATATAAGAATGGAGATATTATAGCAGGCGTGCCTTTCCCTTCTAATAGCTGTGGCCATCCATTTGGGAAACAAGCCAAGCAAGTACGCACCGATTCAGGTCTGGCTTGTGTCTGTGTCCTTTTTCTCAATGATACTCTGTTCGCGCCGGAGTGCCAGGCTTATTATATAGAAAGGAGAAAGTTTGATTAAATCACTTATTTCATACCAAAACACACCCTTTTCGAAACTGAACCATTCATTCACCTCCTCCAGTCAGCGCGAACAGAATTCCTTTATGGAAAGGAAGGCGAAGGAGAGTGTGTATAAAGCCTCCCGTTCAGTTCATGGCGGAAAAAATCAGGGGGAAAAGAAGAATTTTGTTTCGGCTACATTGTCTACGGAAAAAACAAACGCCACTTCCAGACTGAAATGCCGTCTGCTACTTATTACCTTATAGTATTCGCAGCTCGTGACACCAAGGTTAGAAATCCGGCACCGAGAAGCGTATATAGTCTTGTTTCGAGACTTTGGTAGTTTTGACAGTAGAAAACATATCTGACAGCCAAAAAAAAAAAGAAAAAAAGAAAAAAAAAAAAAAAAAAAACTCTCTCCCGGATCTCTGGAATCTCAGTACCCGCTCTGGCTCCCAAAGTTTCAAAGGAGGAAAAAGGTGATTCAGATTGCTGGTACTCGAGCTCTGTGACGCTTTGCAGTGGCGCGCTTCACAGCAATCCACCCCCAAACGAACATCCTTCTCTTCACCAGTCATCATGCGAGCCCGGCAGACTCCATTCTCAGACGTCGAATTGATAGTTCTGAGGCTCAAAAGACACTTCGCATAATAGTCTTCATCTGTACAATCACTCGTATCCAGATCCTCTCCAGAATATCTCATATCCCCCGTGTCCTCGCCAGCGGCAACCAATTTGTTGGATTCTAGACAAACGAGGTCTTTAAGCTCTGCCGGCCAAGTCACGTAAGAGAATGACTTTGGTGTAGAGCTTGTCGTATGGTTTCTTGAATTCGGGAGAATCTACCCGGTGAATAATAAATTGGCCCGCTGTAAGCTCGAGCAATTGGCTAATGCTTCAATGTTGTTATCGGCGTTTTTCGAGATATCTACGCCGTGCAATTTTATAGTATCGTTTCCCCCGTAAGGTTGTGATGACATGAGTTTTTCGGCCAATGATATGACCTTATCCTTGCTCGGGGAGCTGCGAGTGGTAGGAGTCGACGTCTTTTTACTAGCCAAAATAAATACTAGTAATGGCATATTAAATAAGCCATTTGCAATAATATAAGCTGTACAACATCCTTGTTGAGTCCCGTTGCGATCTCCCATCCGGGTATAAGACTCTAATGTGTTTCTGCGCGCAGTAATTTGAATCCGAGTTTGAAATGGTAGAATAGTCGAAGGATTTATAGCTGAAGGTTGAAGGTTGAAGGTTGAAGATTGAAGATTGAATTATAAGGTTGAAGGTTAAAAGTCGAAAGTTGAAGGTTAAAGGTTGAAGTTGAATGTTGGTGTTGTTATACTACGTCGCAGGCGTAAGTATAACCCCTCGAGGATACGGAAAACAGGGGTTTTAAAGTGGAAACTAAACTTTTAAGGCACCCTCGAGGGGTAATACTTAGGCCTGTACCGTGGTAGTTATGGTGAAGTTGAGGGGTGAGGTTGTACGAAGTAAATTGTAACTGTGATCGAATTAGGGTTGTGGTGGGGTGGAGGGGTGTGGTGGGGTTTAATCGCGAGGTTGCAAGGCTGTAAGGCTACAAGGTCAGTAGTAAGATTATAAAAATACGAGCGGTATAATTGGATTGTTATTATAGGGTATAAATAAAGGAACTCTGTGTTTCGAAAGTAAAACAACACCAGCTGAGCCGAGGCTGCAGCCTGCTCGATTTCGAGAAGTTCGATAGAACTTCGAGACGTGGAAGGTTATATAAGTTACAATTGAAGTGTTCTTTACAACAAGTAGAAAACTGCTAATGTCGGACTCTAGAGGCTAATATGGCAGTCAGAAATAGAAGGAACGTGCATAGCAGTAGCAGTGATACGTGACGATGGCACGTGCGCTTACGGTTCCTATAAGGAACCGTCCCAACTATTCATAGCATTACTAGATATCAACAATACAACCAACCATTGACCCCCTGATAGAAGACCAGTCTTACCATCAACACACACCTGTGATACACAAACACTGGGCCGGTCAGCTTGTTATCCCCACAGATGTATAGCGCAACATTCACTGTAGACAATAGCCATCACATCTCTTGAAATGAGTTTCTTGGAGAGCTTGTTTGTGAATTCTGTTCGATATTTAATTATCCCTTTGCAGCTCCACACTTGAATAATGCGATATCACCATCCTCCATCACGTAATCTTTTCCTTTCGTTTGAATCTTGCCCTTGGCCTTGATCTCAGCTTCGTCACCGTACTCTTTAAGAGTCGTAAAGTTGTAAATAATGGCTTGAATGAACGTCTTCTCAAAATCACCGTGAATTACACCAGCAGCTTGGGGAGCTTTGGTACCGTTCCGAATGGTCCATTGACGGACTTCGTCGGTACCGGTTGTGAAGAAGCTGCCTAGGTTGAGGACCTTGCGCATAGTAGTGATGAGTTTGGGAAGGGCTGACTCGACCCCGAGGGTCTTGAGTTCGGCCAAGGCTTCGGGGCTGTCACTTCCGCCCTCGAATTGGGAGAGGCGCTCCTCAAGGCAGATGGAGATGGGGAGGATCGGGTCGCCGGCGGCGTGCTCCTTGATCCATTCCATGACCTTGGCGAGATGCTTATTTTTCTTTCGGATGTAGTCCTTCTCGCTCAAGTTGATGAGGTAGACGACTGGCTTGGCGGTAAGGAGGAAGAGAGGGTTTATGTACTCGATCTAAACCTTCTGATCAGCATCTGGTATAGGAAGAATTGCATGTGAGAAGCGGAAGAAGGTAACTAGATCAGAACGTGTTTCTTATCTCAGTAGCTCTCTACGTTGTACGTGAGGCACTCGACGAGCTGGGATTATCAGGCCTCATGGCCTTTTGTCATCAGGATAGTGTATGGGGTTGGAGAAAATTGAAAGAGAATTTGTTCGTACCTCCTTGGCACTCCAATCGCCCTTTCGGACGTCACCGCCCCCTTGGAGGAGAGCGAGGACCTTTTCGATGCATGCCTCTTCCTCCTTGAGCTTCTTCATCTCGAGAGATTGACCACCACGGCGTGTCAACTTCTTCTGAGCCTCGAGCGCCTTCTCGGTGAACTCGATATCCTTGATGCGCAACTCGTCGCTGATGATGGTCAGATCCCGCACGGGGTCAACATCACCCTCAATATGAATAATTTCAGCGTCATCGAAGCATCGTACGACCTGGAAGATGGCATCAACAGCACGGATATGGGACAAAAAGGCATTTCCCAGACCCTCGCCCTTTGAGGCGCCCCGGGTCAAGCCAGCGATATCATAGATGGTGAGATGTGCAGGAACGCGGGACTTGGGGTTGTATTTCTCGCACAGCCAGTCGTACCGCTCATCAGGGACGATGACTCGAGATTCTTCGGGTTCGATGGTAGCGAAGGGGAAGTTCTGCGGTGGCATATATATTAGAAAGGAAAAAATTGGACGAGAAGAATTTGCAAGAGCGGTGGAGTGCGTGCGGTGCGTGCGTGCGTAAGTGGAGATTCGGCTCGGAGCTTGGAACTTACGGCGGGGTTACCCAGATGGCATTTGGTGATGGCTTGGAAGAGCGTCGACTTTCCCACGTTGGCGAGACCGACCTGATCGATTGGATGCTGTCAGTGGCAGTCGAAGTTGCAGTGCTGTACAGTGCAATGCAGTATCACTGCAGGCACGGCGAGGCAGAGAACGAACATACGATTCCACTCTTCAGGTTGTTGCCAGGCCGGCCCAGGAGGATTTTTTCCTCCTTGACGGCCTTCTTGGGCGGCATCTTCTTGTTCTTTTTCGCGGAGGCGAAGGCGCGGGTGGTAGTGGTGGCGGTTGTAGTTGTGGTTGTGGTTGTGGTGGTGTTGGTGTTGGTGTTGGTGGTGGGGTGTAAGACTTTGTTGTTGTTGTTGTTGTTGTGAGAAAGGGATTTGAATTTGCTGACAGTTCTTGCTACCGGCCTTTTGAACGTGACGAGAAAAGAAGAGAAGTTAGCGAAGGTGGGGGTGAATGGAGTCGTGATGGATAGCCTTGTGCGGAACGAAAGGAATTGAACCCTTTCGCCCCGTAGAATTGATTTGTGCGACTAATAGACTCAGTCGGCGACGCGGAATCTGATCAGTGATGAAATGGAAGTATCTGCATAGGTAAGGTATGAAGCTTTTCAGTAGGTCAACACCACGTGACGCGGCCGCCTGGGCTGACGAGGAGAGAGATGCAAAGATCAATCAATGCCCAGGCCATGACGATAGGTAATACTTCGGTAGGTAAGGAAGATAGCTTCAAACAACACCCATTGAGGCTACCATGGCGAGCAAACACCCACGCAAGAGCAAGCATCGATCAACCCTCTCCCTCCAGAAAACTGATATCAAGATCAATGTCTACGATTTACTGCCAGTAGGCAACCTTTCTCTGCTGAAACAATCTCTACACACTCTACTCCAAACCCCATCTCTCAATCTCTACTACCACCTATTATCTATCTGATCCTAACCTCCCCAGCCAGGAAAAGTCGCATCTCTCCTCTGGACACTTGGCACCTCTCTCCTCCACAGCGGAGTCGTTATCAACGACCGGGAATATGCCTATGGCGGCCATGACCTTCCCACAACAGGCGTCTATTATACCCAGCCCCGAGCAGTTCCTCCCGGTGGAACGTTCAAGTGCGAGCTCCTGCACGGCTTCAGTTTCTCATCGCCGGCCGAGATCGACGCCATAATCCACGAGGCGTCCGAGGTCTTCCAGGGTACCTCCTACAATCTGCTCACCCGCAACTGCAACCACTTCACCGCGTACCTGTGCGAGAAGCTGACCCGACGTCCCAGTCCGGCCTGGCTGAACCGTGCCGCAAGTATAGGAATCGCCCTGCCTTGTGTGGTTCCCAAGGAGTGGATTGCTCCGCCCGATTTCGAGACCGCCGAGGGAGAACTGATGATGTGTGACGATGCGGATCATCGCGTGGGTGAGCGCGCCGGCATGCTGGGGAATATGGGGAGTAGTGTGCAGAGGACGAGTGTAGATAACGGGGATGAGGAGTGGGATAGTGAGGAAGAAAGGCGGAGGGGTGGGAGTGGAAAGGGGAAACAGCCCGTGAGGGATACATCGGGAAGGGAGGTACATCCTGCGGAAAGAGCGCCGCGTAAGAAGACTAGACCAGTGGATTCATGATTCCTCCACTGGAATTGAGCGGCACTGGTATGCCGCGGTGGATTTTGGTACAAGCGAGGCGTTCCGGACGGATGATACCAGCCAGAGTCTATTTTTATGATACAGGTTTTCTACACATCTCGAGGGCAGTGCAGCGTGTAGTGTGCACATCTCGCTGTAGCTAACTATCCAGCGAACAACCCATCTAACCCAGACGTCTCGGCTTCTTACTCCTGGTCCCTCCAAACTTCAACCTCGTTGCATCACTAACCTTCACAACCTTCCCCCTCAAATACCTCCCCTCGGTCCCAAGCAAGGCTTTCGTAACAGCTTCCCTGCCCGCTCCAAACCCACGCAGAAACACCTCCAGCTGGTCGATCCACGCACTCATCCCCGACTCGTGCATCCTCGCCATCACATAACTCGCCAGCTGAAACGCGCTATCATAATGCTTCCGTCCCGCCTTCCGGAACCCCAGATTTCCCGCCGCCAGACTCAACGCCACCGTCCGATTATTCCCCTTTTCAGGATACCGCTTTCCGGTCTGGGGATGATACCAGTTCGGCGGCCTTACGACCGTGATGTGAACATTGTGGCGTGTAGCGTAAACGTGTAGCTGCCACGACGTCTCTAGGTGCTCACCCGCGCGCGCGATCAAGTTCCCACTGCGGTCCGAAGAGTACTGCGTCTCGGTCTTGACGCCACGACCGCGGTTGTCGATCGCGCCTCCAGGCCGCTGTTCGCTGTTCCGCTTCGTTATCAGGTTGAACATGTCGGCGAGGTCGCTGACCGTCTCGCGTTTGGCCTGCGGATGCAAGGACGGCGATTGCAGGGAGCCGCGCAAAGGTGCAGCTTTTTTCGCAGCGAAGGACATGGAGGGAAGTTTGGGCATGGCTCGTGGTGCGGCGACTGATCTTTTCGGGCGGTCGCCTTCGGCGAGTCGTGAGGAGGAGCTGGAGAATGGGCGTAGACATCGTGAGGGCAGATTGCGTGTGTGCAGCAGTTCTGTGACAGGCGGCTGTGCTGCCAGCAGGCGCCGGGAGGCTGTCCGACTCATGGTCTTGGGTGGGTGGTGGTCGGACGAAGGCCTGGTGTTTTGATATTCGAGGTTGACGTTCCCAAAATGTCGATTTGCTAAGCTAAATAAGCCTGTCCCACTTTTTCCGGCTGCTTGCTCGGGCGAAAATGTTGGAACGCCGCTGTCGCTGCGGGCCTAAGGATTTTATTTTTTTGCACTCAACCACTCCTCGTCCTTCATTGTTAAATTGCCTCTCTGAATGAGCGCTTTCCGAACTGCGCCTGATACTCCACGAATTCGATAATGAACGGTCTTCGAAATGCGGCGAAGAGGGCGTCTCCTAACGCTCAGCTGGCTTCAATATTAAGAACTCAGACGACAGCGTACAGACGACTTTCACAGCAAACGCAATCCTCGAACTTACCTTCCATTCCTAACAACCGGACATCAATTCCATTGCAGCTTTTCGCGTTACGGTCGCAATTCCTACCGCATGATATACGGACGCTAGGAGCGGGATCATCGTCGAGATACTTCCACCAGAGCTCGAGGTTAGGACAGGAGAAGCAGGCCAAAGAATCGCCTAAAAAGCAGGCTCCCGAGGAGGACACGGCAAAGAAAACGTCTGGTGAGGCGGACGAGTCTTCATCTGGAGAGGAGAAGGAGAAGGAGAAGGAGAAGAAAGAGGGCGAGAGTGAAGGCGAGGGCAAAGAGGAGAAGGAAGCCCCTCCTCCACCGCCGCCTCACGGGGACAAGTCGCCATGGCAAGTCTTCACCGACACCCTGCAATCGGAATTCAAGGCTTCAAAGGAGTGGAACGAGTCCACCAAGGCTTTGGCAGCTGGTGCCCAGCAGTTTACGGAGAACGAGTCTGTAAGACGGGCTCGTGAGGCGTACGAATCTACAACTGGCGCAGTGTCATCGACGACGGCGAAGGTGCTGAAGACTACTGCTGGGGCTGTTGGGCAGGGAGCTGCGTGGACGTGGGATACGTCTGTTGTCAAGGGTGTGCGGACGACGGTCAATGCTACAGCTACTGTTATTGAGAAGGGGACTCGGCCGATTCGAGAGACGGAGGCGTATAAGAATGTCAAGAATGTGATTGATGATGGCAGCAGCTCGCGCTACGGAGGATGGGTCGAGAAGGAGGAGCGCAGAAAGAAGAGGGAATTGCGGGAGGCGGAGGAGGCTGCAAGGTTGGGTATGCACGGCAGACGGGTTGAAGTTGCTCAAGAAGACCCGGAGTAAGTCCCCATCCAGAACCCAAGAGTCAGCTGTTAAATAGTCCCAGGGCCGGCACCAACGTAACCGTCCATAAAGACGCCGCCTGGAAAGAATCCTGGCGCGACTTCCGCGACTCCAACCGCCTCATGCAAGGCATATTCTCTATGAAGAATACCTACAACGAGTCCGAGAACCCGCTCATCTCTACCGCGCGCTCCATCTCCGACCGTGTCGCCGGCTTCTTCGCCGAGAACGAGACGGCAATGGTCATCAAGAAGTTCCGCGAGATGGACCCGTCCTTCCAGATGGAGCCATTCCTGCGTGAGATGCGCGAGTACATCCTCCCCGAAGTGCTCGACGCCTACGTCAAGGGCGACACCGAGACCCTGCGCTTGTGGCTCTCCGCTGCGCAGTTCCAAGTCTACGACGCGCTGAGTAAGCAGTACACGACTGCGGGCTTGAAATCCGATGGCCGGATCCTGGACATCAGGAACGTGGAGATCTTGCAGGCGCGGATCTTGGATCCAGGAGATGTCCCAGTGTTCATCGTGACGTGCCGCACGCAGGAGGTGCACGTGTACCGCAAGGCGAAGACGAATGAGTTGGCGGCCGGCATGGAGGATAAAGTGCAGCTTGTGACCTACGCGATTGGAGTTACGCGCGTGCCCGAGGATGTCAATAATCCCGAGACGAGGGGCTGGCGGCTGATCGAGCTGCAGAAGAGTGGGAGGGATTACATCTGAGCATCTCCCTGCACAGAAATCCTCACATCTCATTTCTTTTTTTCTCAACAAAATGTCGCATACTTCGCAGCGAGCGAAACCTGGGGCGGGGCGACGATTGTACCTGTATGTTTTTGTTTGGCCGTGTTGCGTTTGTCGTATGTAAATCTAGGCGCCTGGCGTTTCTGTTTCTGGCGGACGGAGGGGCTTGCTTACTTACTTTTACTTCCCCTGCCCGAACAAAACAATGGGGTCGAAGCGAAGCAAAAATGCGTGAAAATCTTGCGCTGTATAACTTACTAGGGAAGATAGTCAACCCGTCCGGGTCCTCCACGCCACTCTTCACGAACGAGCCCAGGCAGGTAGATAGATAGAAACATCGCTCTGCCTCCCTCCACCTAATTAAGGACTGGAGGAGGAGGCTAGGTTAGCGCAGATCAGATCAGATAAGACCAGATCGGATCGGATCGGATCTGCATAATGATATATATTATATATCACTTTTGTACAAACGAAATACTCTCTTCTGAATTGAACTATGTGCAGGTTTTGATAGATGGCGGGAATGTGTGTGTGTGTGTGTGTATGTGTATGTTTTTTTGGTTTCCCGATATTACCGCTCGAGAAAAGGGGGTTGCTGAAACTGTAATATATATATTATATAACAATACGATCTGAGACATGCAATCTCGAAATGGTATAGGATCGCAAGATTCCCGGATAGACTTCTTACTGTATTTTTGCCTTTATTTATTACTCGAGCGAAGCTATAAGAAAGAAATGGATTCTAAAAGGAATAATCATATTTCTCGGAAGCACTTTCGTTTTACCGCGCTTATCTTTCATACATATAGTACATACCGGTACATACATATACATATATATGTGCTCATCGGACATTCTATTTCGAACGCCGATGACAGAATCAGGAAAGTGGGAGAGAGAGTCCGAGAGAGACGAGTACGAGTTTCCCGATTCCAGCACGAGCCCCCTCCCCAAAGAAAAGGAGAAAAAAAAGGAGAAAAAAAAGGAGAATGACGTTAGATGAGATCATCTGGTCATGAGGGCGAGAATGTAGACAGGTATATCTTTTTTCCTGTTTTCTTCTGTACGGAGAAAAGAAGAATCTGAAAGAAAAAAAAATCTCTTGACGAAATAAGAGATATATATCTATCCATCTCCTTATACAAAAGACTGACGACCCTCCCCGCCCTCTGATCGCACTCGTGCAGACATGGAGCCATTCGTCAACGACCCTTCCCTCAAGAAGGCGGGAAAGTTCAATGGCTTCGAGATCCTGACCGTGGAGTACAAGAATGTGGGGGGAGCGGGCGTTGAGCTCGACGTTCTGATCCCGGACTCGCTGCCGGCGAACACGACGGCGCCGCTGGTTGTGAGGTTTCACGGGGGCGGATTCGTATGTAGTTACTTTTTTTTCTCCCCCTTTTCCATTTCCACTTCCACCATTTATCCCATTTTTGAGAAGTAAGAAAAAGAGGAGAAGAAGGGTTGTTGATGCGAGAGCAGGTCACAGGCTCCTCACTCTACGAAGACTGGTTCCCACTCTGGGTGCTCGAGCTCGCAGCCGCGGAGAACGCCATTGTCGTGTCTGCAAACTACAGGCTACTGCCGGAGAGCACGGGTATGGATATGATGGATGACTTGGATGATATGTGGGCATATCTGCATTCCAGCCTGCCGGACGTGTTGAAAAAGAGCAAGATTGGGGGGCTGGGAGTGGACTTGGAGAGGATTATTACGGCGGGGGATAGTGCTGGTATGTGGTCCCGTTTCCTACATCTTCCTCGACTGTTCTGGAAGTCGCTGTATTGAACTTTGAAGCGAGGGTGGAGAGGCACTGATGCGGAATAGGTGGATATATGAGTATACAATTCGCGCTCAACCACTCGGAGAAAATCAAAGCTTGTACGGCTGATTTTCCTGGCATTGATCTTGACATGCCGCCTTTGTCTGCGCCTAGCGCGACGCCACCGCCTGGTCCTACTTTGCCGTTGACCTACGTGGAAAACCACCTCGCTTCCTCTCCTAAGGGCACTGTTGTGTCCTCAGACATGACGCTTGCCCGGTTCCCGCTGATCTTCGCGATGATGCAGCAAGGTACTCTGCACAAATACCTTGGAACCGATGATCGGCTTTTTCCGTTCAGGAGGGTGGAGAAAGGGGATAAATTGCCAGCGTTGTTCGTGGTGCAGGGACGGGAGGATCTTCTCGTGAGTGTGGAGAGCAGTAAGAGGTTTGTGGAGCTGGTGAAGAGGAAGGGAGCTGTGAAGGGTGGCGAGAAGGAGCTGGTTCTGAGTGTGACGGACGGCGGGCATGGCATGAGCTGTGCGTGGGGGGTCGACAACGAGGGTTTGAAAGAGGGACTGGAGATGGTGAAGAAAGTGTGGCTCGGATAGACAAAAAGAAAACGTATGTGGGGGTCGAAGGGAGGAGCCCTGGATAGAATCGGTATCATTCAGTCGTGGAATATCTCTTCTTGAGCTTCGCTCCCACTGCGGCGGGCATCACTGCTCCTGCTTCGGGGGTGTTTTTGCTCTTGAAGTCGTCGGTCATCTGCTCGAACGTGACCCATTCAACACCCTCGTGTTTATTGATGTGATCGATGATCCTACCCATATCATTACTCATCTCTCATACTCGCTCTGCAAAGATTCAACGTACCTTTGGTGCATCTTCAGAACGTGTGGTCTACCCGATACATCAGGATGAATAGTCATGGGAAAGCAGAACTCGTCATAGTTTTCGTAGAAGTAATCGAAGTGGTCCATCCACAACTGCTCCACCACCTTGGGGTCAACCCATCCGTGCGAGTTCGGGGCCTTCTTGATGAACATCATAGGAGGCAGATCGTCAATGTACCAGGAGGCTGGAATCTCAACCAGTCCCGTTGGCTGGCCCTTGACCAAAGGCTTCATCCACTCCTCAGCCCTCTTCTCGTAATCGATTTTGGTCCAGGTATCTCCGATTCTGAGCCAGTACATCTGGGCATCATCGTGAGACATGCTGTGGTCATACTCAATGCCATAACTCAACAGCAGCTCAGCGCCCTCTTTGGAAGTCTCCCACCACGGAGCTACACTACCTCTTGGAGGTTTCCCACAGAACTCTGTGAGCATGTTGTACGTCTTATCAAGCACGTCTCTTTGCTGCTCCAAATTCATATCGGCTGGGTTCTCGTGGGAGTATCCGTGGAGACCGATCTCGTGGCCTTCGTCTCGGATCATGGCACATTCCTCTGGGAAGGTCTCGAGAGAGTGGCCCGGGATGAACCAGGTTGCTTTGAAGCCGTTCTTGTCAAACAGCCTGAGGAGACGACGGACACCAATGGTGCCCGCGAATACACCTTTGGGTTGTGAGTGCTGCCATTATGAAGGAAGCTTCAGTAGATTGTACCTCTGCTGATATCACTAGATGAGTCTTCTCCGCCGTAGCTTCCCAGCCATCCTGCTACGGCATCGATATCGACTCCATATCCCACGAGGACTTTCTTGGCCATTGTAAAGAGAGAGTTGGGTAGAGAAAGCTTGAATGTGGAAAGAACAGAGAAAAGCAAAACTTGATAGTTGGACAGATCTTCACACCTATGACTTGAGAAAGTTGTAGTGATCGACTTGATCAAGGAGGGATAGCTTTAGCTTTTTAGCTCTCGAATTTCCCCGCTGTACAGTTACACAAACGTTGTGATACACAGCATTGCAGCAGTAGTGGGGGACGGCATCCAGAGATGGGGTGGACTGAAGACGGAGCGATACTGATGTTGTGTCGGGGCAAAAAAAAGGGGCTTATTAGCGCACGCGGCGCGCGCTTATGCGCGGCTGTGATAAGGGGCTTCGCTTAGTCAGCGGACGACATCCCGACGACCTGCCAGTGGACGCGTCCTCCAGTCAAGATCCTGGCCAGGTACGAATACGGAGATAATCCAGGCGACACCAACTTTATCCCAAAGCTGTATCCCGACATCTTCTTGAAGCAAGCATCCACAACCGTCAGAACACCTGAAACGATAATTTGTCAACGAATAAATAATAGACGTAACAACAAGCATCAGGCAACAGACATCAGACCACGCACCAACCGCCCAAGCCCGGCCAACCATCCGTCTTCGGCATCAAGATCAAGCCAGCATCTCCAAGTCCGGCGCATCACATCCGGCCAGGTGGTGATATCAGGAACCCCGGGCTGAACACGTTGCTAGACTGGGCTGGGCTGGATTACACTGGACTGAACTGGACGGAACTGGACAATCTGAATTGGATTGGACCGGTGCCCTGCGATCTCTGGCGGCGCGCGAATGTCGAATGAATGCAACCCTTAAACCCTTTTCTGAGTGCCTTCTTCAAGAGCGCTGTGCCCTCTCAGTGTACTCCCGTCCATCATCATGTAAGCTGCCTGGAGCAGCGCTCCCTGGCGCATTGTGATACACGTGCTGACCAGGTCTGTAGATCCTGCTAGTACCTTCTACTGAAGTTCTCCTTACCTCCCGCGACCGCGAGTCTGGTGCCCTATACTCAGATCTAGCTGGATCTGAGGAGTTTCTTGGAAGCCATGTCTTGCGAATACCAGCCAACCACGCGACAGCGGGAGGGAAGGATGCGCCGAACATGCGAGAGAGTCGGGGGAAGGCAAAACAATTTACAACCATCAATGGCAGGACGGTAGTGGTCAAGGATGCATATGTCTACAGCAACAAGGGTACGTCAATTGACTTAGGATAGGAGCATGAGCTGATGTGGTCTGATAGGATTCAAAACTCTCAACCAGGCGCAATTCTTGACAGATACTTTATGGTACCCAGATTCGTTGGAACCGAGGCAATGGCTGATATACTACATCTCGAGGCCCCTGCTGGGAATATTCGAAGAGGTCAACATTGCAACAGCGACCGTACCGAAGCTCTTTCCGACGGGCAGCAGGCCACTCTTACCACCGCGGCTAGCATCCCTTCCAGATTCGCCTACGTCACCAAATAGTCTACCAAAGAAGAAAGATATCCAGTCATTTCATGACCTGTTCAATAATTTTCCCATGATCGCGAGGCAGATGCAGCCAGGTCTGGAGAAGCTGTTCAAGGAATTCAATATGGTCTTTGATAAGCCACTACCCCCACCGCCATCTGCAGAAGTTATTCCGGATCCCTTACCAGACGGGCCTATCGCAAAAGCAATTAAGAATGTGCGATCAAACAGCACCAGTTCGGCACCAAGTATGCGGCCGAATGGCCATGCAGGTCGACGAGGTATGGAAGACTTCTTTGCCGAGGAAGACGAGGATGTTATGCGAGGAGCCTTGGAGACTGCGGTGACATCTGCCATAGATTTGTTCCAAATGGTCGACAAGCAACAATTATCTTTACTAGGAGCTACCACAGATCTCACCGGGCCTGTCGTAGAGCGCCTGATTGAGAGATATGTGGCCGAGCAGGTTCACCATACCGTACTTTACCCGAGATTATGTGCTATGAAGCGACCCGAGGATATCGACCTGGAGTCGAAAATCAGACAAATGGAATTTGTTGACATTTCGCAAGTCGGCATTCTTATCCAAGGCGGGCAAAGGGGCAAACACGAATTGACGCTAAGGCTGGGCCGGGCCGTGGAGGAATTTCGAAAATTGGGCAGCGCCGGCAGTCCGCAACAAATGATGGATATCTTGTTGTTGACTCTGAAAACTGTCACCCAGCTCACAGAGGTTCCGAAAGTTGCTGCCAATGGCGCTCCTCCATCCTTTGAGAAATCCAGTCCTGTTTTGACCATTAACGCCGACACACTGGTATCGCTGCTTCTGGTTGTCGTGATCAGGTCCCAGGTCAAATACCTCCAAGCTCGCCTGTTATACATGCGCCACTTTATCTTCATTGATGATGTTGAAAGTGGGGAGATGGGCTACGCACTTAGCACTTTTGAAGCTGTCCTATCATACCTGGCACGAGACTCTGGAGGCCTACGGAAGGCAAGCCGGAGGAATCACAAGTTATGGCAAGCTACGAAGAAGGGAGACATCAAAGATATGATCGCTATTATGGAGCCAGAGAAGGACCCTTCATCCGACGACGAAACTATCATCGAATATTTGGTCGATGAAAATACCCCTTGGAAGTCGTCGAATGGCCACGCGAGACGGACATCCTCGAAGTCAAGCGAATCTGGCAGATTATCACAAGCCTCAACCCTCAATCACGTGTTTCCGTTTCAGATCAGTCATGATGAAGAGGAGGAGCGCCACCCACCCCTACGAAAGCCCAAATTTGTGACGATGGATACGCGAAGCATGTCTAGCAGCTCTGAGATGTCGTTCCGATCGAGAGCGACTACCATCGACTCCGTGGGTAGTGGTATAGAAGGCGATACCTCGATCGAAAGGCTCTCTCAAACAGAGGATTCATTTGGAGAGTCTGTCCCAATGATGGCAGTTCAAAATGAAAGACCAGAAGCTCTAAAGTACCTATTGACCCTGCGCAACTACTTCCCACTTGATTACGTTATTCAGGACACAAATAATGAGGGCACAACACTGCTCAGCGCGGCTGTTCAGCTGGGCCACACAGAACTTATCGACATCATCCTGGAATTTGTCTATCAAGCCGAATCCGAGGCGTTGGTGGTTGAATATTTGGCAAAACAGGACATCCGGGGCAGAAGTGTTGCCCATTACCTGTTCAATGCTCCGACACTCATCCCTCGGGTAGGGCGGCTCTTGCCATGGCGGCAGAAGGATAGAAATGGACAAACACCACTATTTGCTCTCTGTCGATCATATGACCATGGAAACTATAGAGCAATGGTAGAAGCAGGTTTGACATCGGCTACGATCTCTCAGGGAGACGGCCAACCGTTACATCTGGACGACCATGTTGACGCCAAGGGGAACACCCTTCTGCACATAGTCAATGATCCTCAGGTGGCGCTGCGCATCTTGCTACATTGTGATTCGGACGTCAACGCGACCAATGACAAGAAGTTCACACCATTGATGGTTGCTAGCAAATACGGTCGACTTGAAATGGTCCGGGCTCTGTTTGGTGACCCTCGAGTGGACATGTTCGCCAAGGAGCTTCGTGGCCTCACGGCTGTTGAGTTGGCCAAAGATGATGATGTTCGGAATCGAATCGATGACCTGATCCTCTTCTCTGGCCAGCCGGCCGCGGATGGCAGAATCACAGCCGTCGTTCGATCATTCTTCGTCGAAGATGCTACGATCCGTCTCGTGGTCAAGTCTGGTGCACCATCTGTCAATCAGAGCTTTACAGTGACGACTTGTAGACGTTCTCTCGCCGACTTTGAACATCTAGCCCAGCTCCTTGCGCTTGAGAACCCAGCATCCTGGCTACCATCGATCTCAGGCATGCGATCGCCGTTCCAGCTGCCTTCGAAACCATCGAGAGCCGTTTTGAGAGACATTCAAATCCGGCTGGATGGATTCTTGAACATACTCCTGGCACATTCAACGTTCTCGACGCATGAGATGCTGTGGGAGTTCTTTCTCGTGCCCGATATTCGAGCGGATATGATGGAGCAGCGAAGTAAGTTGAAGTCTGAGGCCAGGATTGAGACAGTCAGAGAAGAGTATGAGCCAGTGGAAGATATAAGAGATGTTGAGAGATTCGTCGATCATGCCAGGGATATGGTGCGAAATGTGAATTACTCTACCAAGAGTGTCGCACGGAGAGCCAATATGGTGCAAAATACAAACACCGGTAAGATTTCCGCAACCCCATGCCGGTTCGATACTAAGCAACCAGTAGATCTCCACAGCGCATGGATTCTTGCGTCACGGGCAATCTCCACCCTCGAAGGTCTTCCCAAAACCCACACCTCGGCTCTAACGGCCTACGTCCAGTGCCTTACACCTCCCTCTAATTCGCCTTACACGGCCTTCCACGCCACAATTCTCTCCATCCATAGCACCATCATTGCCATGCTCCTCTCGCTCTCTCGTCCCACCTCCCTCATCTCCTCCATAACATCTTCTCGCAAAGCTATCGAGCGCAACTACAACTCACTCTCACGCTCTACCCGCTGGCCGCTCGGCCTCCTGGACGACACTCGTCAGCGTCTGAACGAGGAGAAAGAAGATAAGATGCGTCGCACGAAAGAGGAAGCCGACGAGCTCGGGCGAGAGCTGAGGTATACCCAACAAGTCGTTGCAGGCGAATTAGCGGGTTGGCAGGATCTTCACGAGAAAATGGGGAGGAAAGCTATTAGGGATCTGGCGCGTGGGATGTTGATCAAGGAGAAGACGTCGCTCGAGGGGATGATGCGTGCGCTGAGGAAGTTGAGGATTTCCAGTCCGGCTGTGGGTTCGGCTACCCCTTCTATTTTGAGTGCGGAGGTTGAAGTTAATGGAGGGCCGTCCGGTGGACTGGGACCGGCTGGGATGTAATGGTCAGGGGAGGCGGGCATCCGGGTTTGAGGGGTGTTGTTCATAGTGTTCATATACTTGGATAGGGCGGTGGGCTTGTGGCGGCGTTGGGGAAGCGGTAACGAGCGATGGAATGGATATGACAGGACATCTGCACTTTTCTGAGTCTTGGAAGCGTCGCATAAACGGAGCCAGCCAGCGTTGAATTCTATGGTGTTTGGGGATGACTGCTCTCCGCGCCCTCCTTTCTCTCCTGACGATAATACACTCTATGGGACAGTGGATTGTTTCTGTTGCGTGGCTAAGTGAGTGAGTGAGTGAGTGAGTGCCCTTGGCATGAGGCCAGTACCTAGGTACCTAGGTAGGTAAATGTACAAGTACTCTGCTCCGAACCTTCCCTATCAACGACACTCCCTCCGCGTCCCAAGATAATAATACACAACAAGCCCGGAGCCCTCTCTGGCCCGATCGAACACCTGCGACCGGGTCATCCATCCGCCGGCATGTCGCCCCAAGAAAACATTTCACTGGGGTGTATATATATATATATATATATATACCTTTGCGACATCCCACTGCGCAGGGTACAGACGATTCGGTGGCGTCCCGTCGCAGTTCCATTCTCTCACGCCCCGACCGTCTTTTTTCGCCTGTTGGTGTGTGTGTGGCAGCTCTGTCGAAGAACGGGTGGGTGTGTGCGATGGAAATCGAGTTGGTGTGGCGCTGTTTCACCTCGCATCGATTTATTTACCGTGAGGGTTTTTTTCGTTCGTTTTCTGTAGAGTGTGGATGGCGGGGTCATGGCTTGCTTTCAGCTGTGTTGCAGGGTGGTGTTTTGTTTTCTGGTTTTGTTTGGTGGAGGGGGGGGGGGCGCTAAGCGAGCGAGCGAGCGAGGGGAGTGGATGGATGGATGGATGGATGGGCTGTCGCTTGTATCTGATTGTGGTAGGTACCTAAGGTAAATGCTGGATATGGAGCAGCAATATGTATGTTCTTTCGTATTTTCGATAATAGAAGGAGTCTTATCTATTGAATGATATTCGGGCATATGATTTTTGCGTCGCAGGCATTTTAAATTTTTTATTTTTTGGGGTGTTTCATCTTCACTCTTGGTATTTTCGGTTTTTTTTGTATTTACTTTCTGTCGCTTTGATCGAGTTCCGCCTGTGATGATTCATTTCACACTATCCTCTTTCATTTCGTAATCTCAATTGATTTGCGACGTCCTCTTTTTCTTCTAGTAATCTCTTTTTTTTTCTTTTTCTTTCCTGATCCTCTTCTCTGTCTACCTACCACTTTGTACGATTACAGAATCAAATTTCAAACCTTTTCGATCTCTTGATTCGGTGAATGGGACAGGACAGGTCCGTGTCTCTTGTGCCATTCGTGGACACGGTTTCTTGCCAGCTTGATCGATCTTTTTTTTTTCTGCTTGGGTTTTTTTATCGTGTCGGGTTTAAGAGCTTCTGATCGAGCATAGAAGATCAACTGCTGAGATGCAAAGCGTATCCATAACACCTGCAACAGATACAGCAAGTGCTGCAGCAACAGCAGGGCCGCTAACCACTCGCTGCAATGGACTCGACGTCTTGTTCGATAGTCAAATTTTGAGACTTGCCTGTCGAATTCCTCGACCGAATCTCGGTCCTTGGAGTCCTAAAGACTAGATTCAATACCGAGTGATGGATATGTCGTTATTCGGGACTTGGGTCTTGTAATGGCCTGAGGCTACCAGGCCTCTTAGGCGCACCTGCGCGCCAGAGGAGTACATAGACTTCTCCTATCACGGAAAACTTGGAAATATCATTCTCTCTATACACAAGGCGTCCCTCTTCCACTTATTGAAGTGGCGATTAACGCAGGGACCGACTAGCAACCCTCTGGTTCGCAGTCAAGACAACAATACAAACAATACAAACAATACCGAGAACACTAACAACCCCTTTATAACACCACCAATACAGCAACCAAAGAGAACACCCCCAAACCCCATCTCCCACTCAGCAACACACCAAAGACTTACACACTATAGCCAGCCAACCTGCCACACCCATACCCACACCCACACCTACAACCCACACTCAACCGCACCACAACCACGGCTCACAACCAGCAACCTAACATACGATAAGGTCGAAGCGCACAACTACACTCAAACATATCATCGCTCACCGAGACAACCAGAAGCTTTAAGCTTCTCCTTACATCAATTCTGCTTAAGGCAGCTCCAGCTACGAAAGCTCCTTCCCTCGCAAGCTTAAAAGTCACTTGCCCCACAAAATCAACCAACAAATGACCAAGGAAAGAACGGAACAGCCTTATACTCTTAATTGACTTTCCTCTTTAAACTCTAAAGAAACATACTCTTACCTCCAACACTTCCACTCATTACCACTACCTACCACTCTCACCTTCACAACACCACCCTTCGCTCTCCATTGCATCAATTCTCTTTGGTACGGAAGAAAATTCATTGTTTAAATTAATAGGCGAACTTCTATCCAGAACCTACCCATGGAAGACAAGATCAATCACATCGCCGTCACAATACTCGGACACTGACACCCAATCCCAACCTACCACCCCTAAAGACAAGGCGATTGTCCAGTTTCTGCCCAGAACAGAGACAAGAGTTTACGACCCGGAACAGGCCACCCGAACCGGATTCACACAAGATACCAGACCAACACAACAAATGCAGAACACAAGGCGTCCCCCCCCCCCCCCCTCCACTTATTGAAGTGGTCTCGGCAACGCAGAAAGTGACAGCGGGAGTTTCATCGACAGCGAGCCAGCCTCGCTATTGTACAGCTGCCATTCTACTATACGGAGATCAAAGAAGATAGCTGAAGCTAAGTGGCTGCTTCAGTCGTACCATCGACACCCGTATCGCTGTTCTCGGTACCTGCCTTTTCATCTTCTCTGCTCTAGGACTCAGAGACGTGAATAGCCGGGTCGCGGCCGAAAAAAGAGGCTATGTATATATGACCTACCCTAGCTCTATTTAGGACCAGGAATTTAGGATCAGGAAACCACGCACTATGGCTATGGCCGGCTGGCTGGGCAAGACAGGTGCGGAGGCGCCTACAGTGTTCAGACCGCGGTTCGCGAGCGACGCGAGCTATGCTCATGGAGAAAGATGTCTGTCTGATGTATGCTGGCACTTTGGAAATTGTGAGGATGTATGAGCATCGAGATCTGGACGAGCGGCGGAGCAAAAATCGAGAGGGGGGGAAATTGATAGCAGGAATATAATGGGTAGTAAGAGAATATTTGCGATATATCTGCTCTGGGCGAAGAAGATTTGCTGCCGTAGTGCTTCTGCATCCTCTGCGTAAGCCAGATAGATGCCGCTCGCTTCCCGATTCAATCCTGGCTACCTATATGAAAGTGGTTTCCATTTAATCGTGGTGAACCGAACACGTACAACCCAATGAAGCTACCTAGCTACCCCTAAGATTAAGCAGCCCGAGAAAAGCTAGCGTGGCAAGAAAGAGGTTTCCCAACTGTGCGACTGCAAACCCTACGCCGGAGTAGGTATGTGCTTACAGACCGGATGGATGCGCGCTCTAGGCTGCCGCTTTCGGAAAACGCTTTTGCTGACTGAGAGATGTACAAGTAAGACTCGCTGTGGCTATGCTGGGGTACGTACCGTACCTATCTTCCTTGTTATTTATTTCCTTTCGTTATCGAACCAAGCCGAATACCGGTAAGCGTTCACCACTCGGATCCATTTACCACGGCGGTGTCCATCGTTGTGGACCTATGATAGCCGTGCTACGCTGCTATGTATGGATCGCGGTCACAGAGGACTGGCCCCCATTCCATTCTACTGCACACGCAACCGTGGAGACAATTACACGTAGCCGTCGTCGGTGAGCATGGATTTAGAAAGTGGCGGAGCTGCGCCAGGGCGGGATTTTTTTTTTTCTTTTTTTCTTTCTTTTTTTCTTCTTTTTTTCTTTCCTTTTTTCTTTCCTTTTTTCTTTTCTTTTTTTTTTCCAAAGTTAAATGCAAGGTAATCGACGATGTAGCACAGACTCAATCACATACTGTACCTAGGTACCGGTAGCACAAGCCGATAGATACAGTATTCCATGACGGCTTCTAGATACTGACCGCAGGAAGTTCAAAGGCAACGCACGAGCCGTCAGCTTCCACCATCATCTGCCTGCCTCTACAGTACGTCCTCCTCCAGAACAAGACTGTCGACTCTCAAGCCCTGTCGCGATACTGAAAGCGGTGGCGTGGCCGCTCATCTTTTTACTACCGAGTGAAAAAAAAAAGAAGAAGAAAAATTATATATATATCTTCCAATCTCTTTTTGTTGCTTGTTGTACACGTTATCGTCTTTTTTTTTTTTTTTTTTTTTTTTTTGCTTTTTTTCCCCTTCGCCTGAACATCTCGTGAGATGTGCCAATGAGGTAGATTTTATAAGGTGCTGTTTGCTGTTGGATCTCGAACATGGGGATGGTAAACAACTAGCAACCAGCCATTGAAAAGAATCAATATTTGGGGATTATAAGAATGGGGATGACAGAATGGGGATGACAGAATGGGGATGACAGAATGGGGCTTCCCTATACAATACAGTCGAAACGATCGCCCTCGTCCATCCTCGCGCGAGAATAACCCCTGCTGCATTCTCCTCTCCGACCAAGGACGGAATCACGCGAAAGGGAAACAAGAGCAGCAGAGTAAGAGACTGCTACCGGTACCTACCTTAGCTACCGCTCGCTTTTAACATTCTCTAGCCTCCCCCCATCACCCCACGACAGTAGAGCGCACACGCACACACACACACACAGAAGAACCAACCAACCAACTGACTTCTTCCAACTTCTTCGGGTGCTTCGAGTTGTGGGTGCGATGGAGCCGCCGGCTGAGACTCGAGCTGGTTGGTGGTGCATTTGGAGAACTAGGTAGGTCCTGTCTGTACTCGATTACCGGTAAGGAGAGCCTGGAGAGAAGAGGAAGAAGGAGGAGGAGGAGGAGGAGGAGGAGGAGGAGGAGGAGGAGAAGAAGAAGAAGAAGAAAGGTGGAAAAACAGTGTGAAAATAGTGGAAAAACAAAAGAATAAATATAAATATATAAATATATGTATGATAAGAAACGATAGATTAATCCAGTCATTCACTTACAACCCTCAACCGTAACCCCAAGTGACCATAAATATTTCTTTCTTTCGCTTCTGCTAATCTTACATTCAGGCGTTAGCCAGCTCTCGCACCCAGCTCCAAAGTAGTACACTATACCGAGAGTGATTTCGAAATTAGTCGCGTTGTATGGGTATAACCCGTGTACAGTATTATGTTTCTCTAAAGAGGCATGGAAAAAGCCATCTACTGACTGATCTTTCCTCCGTACCTTCCGTCCCTCCAGTCCCCGAACTCCAGACTCCAAATTCCAAATTTCCTCGACGCCATTCATCAAAGCATCACGGGTATCCGTTCCAAACGCTAAAACAGAAATGCAGCATCGAGAAGGGAAGAAGATATAGTACAGGCGCGCTTCCATCCAGCGTTATTCGCAGACTCTGTTTTTTTTTTTCTCTTTTTTTTTTTTCTGTAGAATCCCATTCAATGCTTGCCACCCCGCCTGGCCATGAAACCCGACGGCCTGCCAGCCAGTTTCGAGCTCGACGGTGCATCATCTCCATCTCCCTCTTCATCTTCGTCTGCCTCTACAGACTTGATCGGCAACTCAATATCCTCGCTGTCGCTAGAGTCACTGAGAATCTCAATCACGCTGCTCTTCGCTCCAGAGCCTGGAGGTACACTCAGCGCGTCTGCCATGGGCGTAGCAGTCCTCGACTTCTTGTTGTTGGCGAACTTCGCAGCAGCGTCCTCGGAGCTGACTTCCACCATCGATAGGCCGGGCGCAGGTGTACCGCTAGCAGAGGTCGAGACCGAATCTCGCTTACGCTTATTCGAGTTGTTGGAAGAAGATTGTGGGTGGTAGTGAGTAGAGGTAGCAGGTATGGGCACGTTGGAGCGGTGGATACCAGAGTCCGGGGGTGGCACTGAATTGTTGTTTATGTGGGTCAGAAGACCGTCCTCTTGATGAAGATTTCTGGGACCGTAAGGTGCGTGATTTGGTAGTGCATTGTACGATTGGGGTGGTGCTAGCAGCGCAGGGCTGTAACCATTGTTCGGCGGGCTTGCGTTGCTACTAGGTTTGTTGATGGGAGAGAAAGAAGCGCCAGATGGCGCGCCAGCAAGAGGACCGTGTGTACTAGCTGCACCGAAGGACTCTCTCAACTTGGTGCCGGGCATCTTGGTGCCGGCAGCGGCAGGAAGACCAGCTGCGACCCGGGCAGCCTGTTGTCCCTTTCTCAGTCTCAGACTGACACCAAACGATTTGCGGATCTGACTGCGCTTGCTAGCATTGGCGTTCAACATAGACGAGGTTCGGCTAGCTCGCTCAGCTTCCGTATAACTAGCCGGGAGACTGGCGATGGCAGCATCGGTCCGGTCTTGGGTTTCCTGCAGAGCTTTCTCCATTTCAGCCCGCTTCTGTGGCGAGAGCTCATCTGGTGACATTCGGATCTCATCTTCTGCCTTCAGTTTCTGAGGGGTACTGGGAGCTGGCGGAGGTGGTGGTCGCGGGATGGCAACAGGCGGTCGCGGTTGGGTTCCGGGTGGGTTCTGACTGCCGATAAAACCTTGCGGGATGGGTTGAGAATTGGGAGGGACGCTTCGTGGGGCCGAAGTGGGAGGTGCCTGGGTTGTGTAAATTTGAGGACGAGGAGGGGGGAATGTCGGAGCATTCTGCAGAGGCATTGAAGGTGGTAGGCTGGTAGTCGATATTGAGCTTCCATTGGTTAGCTTGAGGGAAGTTTTGGCCGGAGCAATCTCTTCGACTGCATAGCAGACATATCGCAGGGCATGCTGCAGACTGTTAGTTATCCTCAGTACAGTGCAGGTTAGAAAAGACTTACATAGTCCATACCCTGCTTGGTGGTGAAGCCAGAGAGACAGTTTGCGCAGTTCCACTTGAAGCCCCCGGGGGGAGATTTCTTGTCACAAACCTTCTTGGTGACGTGCTACTACTGTCAGTATGGTCAACGGATGGGCTGAAGCCAAAGGAAACTCACGTATGCAAAGCCTGAGTGGGTCACAAACGTTCGGTTACATGCTCTACAGATCATTTGCCCAGAGAGGACAACTGGAGCCCGGGCATGTTCGCCTGCCGAAGTTGGATTGCGCACAACATCAGCATCCCGAGCGACTGTACCCGGACGGTGGGAGTTGGCAGATGCTGCGTTTCGAGCAATAGCTGCCTGAACGTGTTGTGATTGAAACTTATTCATAGAGGCATTTCTCTCTTGCTCCAATAGGAGAGGATCCTTGTACGGATTGACATTCTCAGGTGGGGGACGGGACATATAGTGAGATCCATTAGCCATCGGCGGCTCATCCAGAGGACGTTCTCGAATTGGAGGAAGTGGAACATTTGGAGTGACAGACTCCCCGTCTTCATTTAATATATCGTCGGCCTTGTAGCCGAGTCGCTGTGCTTGAGCCAGCCATTGGACGAGCTTCTTTGCCGGAACGGTTTCTAAGCGTTCAACGATGACTTGATCAATGACTGTCTCCGGAACCTGGGTAGTGATTAAAGCAGCTGAGGCACTTTGAAGAGCCTTCTCCAAAAATTCCGGCCTCTTAATAATGAGATCCATCATCTGTGTCTTGAAGAGACCTTCATCTCTCAGCACTCGTTCGATAATCGTCGCGTTGGCATTTCTCAGACCAGCCCGGAGAATGAAAGCGATGTGGTCCTCATTGTAGTTGTCAAACAAGAACATTCGCCAGCTCTCCTTCAGTACCCTCTGGGCGGCCGCGGATGAGACCTCCGCAAGAAATTCCTTCAGTCGCGCAACCTCCTTGTCAATCTTGATAGTCTCACTGGCGCCCGGATCAGGCTCGGAAACCTTGAGAGGTTTCTTGGAAGGTGGCAACACAGCACGATCAACTTTGGTCTGAATGGGAGGAGAGTTCGTTTTCTGGTCGTCGGTAGTGGAAGGTGGCCCAGTGCCATCCTTCTCGACGGACGGTAATAGGTGTGAGGACGAGGTCACGATAGGTGATACCGAAGATGGAGGAACGTGAGTTTCGGCAATCTTTATTGCATCCACATCCACTTTATTTTCACTTTCGACCGCGACCTCTTCGTCGCCCTTGCCACTCGACTCCTCGTGCTGTTCTTGTGTCAGGTGACCATTTGAGGTCACATGATTCTCATCCAGCTTCTCGGCTTCGACAGGTGCAGAAGATTCCGATCCCGCATCTTCCATATCAACGTCCTTCATCTCTGGGGACGATGAGCTCGTCATCTCGATATCTTGGCTTGGCATCCTGATGATGTGTGTTGTGATACACGTGCACAGGGCACCGTCGCGTCTCGATATCTACAAACGGGGTTTGTCTCGAGGTGGCGATAGTCGCGAACGGGGTTTCAGCGAAGAATGAGAAACGCGAAAGTTCTTTTCGCAAGGAGAAAGGTGAACAGACGGTGTCCCTACCTCTGACTATTGCAATCTATCAGCTACAGTACGCATTATGTAACACGCAGCTGCTGGTCGAGGGAGTATATAAATGTGTATATATACCACTGATATATACACATGGGTACGCGGGACATGATTACTCACTATGAGGCGCTCGATAACAAGCGGACTTGATCGATGCAGATTGAGAGGCGCAGCTGTATGTAATTATGTATCTAGGGGTCGGGGTTGTACGGAGTTGTAAGAAAGTAAACCGGGAAGAAGTTAGGGCTTGCGAGACTTATAATTTATAGGTGCACGGTTGCGCAATCACGATTAGCCCGACTAGCTAGCTTATAAAGCCCAAACCTCACTAGCGTGTTAAGATCCTTTATCGGCTAAATTGGTCATGACCCAGTCCGTAAGGGGTTAGCGTGTGCGGCCGCTTTCATAAGATCTTTTAATTCAGTCATATCGCTTAGAATGGCCGCTCCATCTGATAGGTCCTTGATATTTAATAGGGGTATATGGGGAATCGGCCAAGTAGCGGACCACGATTTACTCCGGAAGGAAAATGATATATTCCTAACTTTGACCAATTAATTGCTTCTGCTTCCCGCTCGCAATTCCTACCTACTCCGTACTTCCCTAAATCGATCAATGATTTTCTTTCCTTAGAGCCAAATACCTCGCTTAGCTTTGTTTTGATAGAAGCCACCTTGACTGAAATCCTTTTGCAATGATAGTGGTAGTGGTACCGCGTATTATTATCTAAACTGTTACAATGGTGTGGCTTCATCGGATTCCGCGTTGGGCTGTATTATTCGCATCGCGCTATTCAATCGCAGGTTAACGCTTTGTCGTTCATGCATCGTAATTCGGGCCGAGGTTAGCCTTTACCATCAAACGTGCAAGTCCTAAACACACAGCTCACGGGCCAATTCGATCTATGCCAATTTGAATCCCAAATAAGATAGGAACAGTGACTACTATATAGAGTTTATCGCGAATAGTGATGTTGACGTCCTGTGTGGCGTTGCGGGCTAAGGAAGAGGAGGCAACATCCATCCAGTGGCCAGACATTCTTTACTTTTAGGAGCCAGACTAAAAGGAGCCGCTATTATGCAAAAGCTGCTCCAAGAACATTCTATTGATTTTCCATATTTCCAAGAGTACTGCGCAGAAGTAGGGTTTTAGGCATTTTGATTGCTAATTGTTTCATCAGGTCGGCGGAAATAATCCTTTGAGTATCATCACGAAACCAATTTCCTCCAGATTCTCGAATAGTATTAGTCTCTTTATATATTATATTGTATATCAAACATCCGTTGTAGTAAGATCATAAACGAGCGAACCAGCGCCGTGAAGTCACCACCGCTGCCTAGCACAATCTTGAAATCCGTGTTGAGACAATAGAAGAGTCTCAGAAGCAAGTTAAGTCAACTTGCGTAACAACCCGGTGAAGCCCACAATTGATTAATTGAGTTGGGTTATGACAAGATGCTTCCGGGCCTGCTCGGTTATCTTGAATAAATTCGGTATAAAATCAACCAAAGGCGAGGGCATCTAGGCCAGATTAGGTATCCGCAAACCAAGATACATATCATTATGCATAAGCAAGTCCGCCGGTCAGCAATAGCTTCAAAAGCCAAGCAGCTTTTGAGACCATTCATTTTATGATAGTTTTCGCATTAGCGTTATCTTTAAAGTCATGATGACTTGATGAATTTATTTGGCTCGGAATTCCCTTAATAAATCACATGCTAAGCCTATTTACAAAATGAACCAGATCTCCTGAAAAATAACCTTTCTGACTTTAATCAAAGCAACGATTTTTCTATCCCATATAGCCCCCATTCAGCAGATAAACTAGATCTCGCCAATAGTAACCTTTTTAAGTTTAATCAAAGCTATGGTTTTCCCACCTCATTTAGCCCTAATGCAAATGCCATCAGCGGCGCTAGCACTCTTTTTTGAGGAACCAGTCCACCTTCACACCGAACAATTTTTTTTCCCTTATGTAACGTCCAAAATCCTCCCGTTCTCTTCCCATTCCCACCCAAAACCAGACAAAAATCAAGCAATAATGATTCGCGAGCAGGAACTACGCTCCAAGAACCCGCAATTTACTTCATCTGCTTATTAAGATCTAATACCAGATATTCCAAGAGGCCATGAGAAGTCGGTTATGACACGGTCACTATTTGGAAGACAGAGTCCCGTGCGAAGCCGACAGATCGGCAATACCGATAATGCTCGCGGACCTCTCCATCCTCTTTCGATCTTGCAAATCGCAGCAGCGGAACATCGCGATATCGGCGGCCCTTTCCATCCGCGACCGCAGCGTCAAGAACTCGTCTGCATTCGGACTCTTCTATCCGGTGATCCATACGAGATTCGATCTTGATGGCCCATTCATCCTGGGAGCTCTGCCTGGCCGCCGATTATTATGAGCCGGAGACAATCGCTTAAAGATGTGGGGATCACAATCACCTCATGTTCCTCTCCTTGTTCAAAGACTACCACTTCCATTCAAAGCATCGGAATGGCATCGGTTTCTGGTGGTTGTTTGTGGGAAGGCTCAGGTTCATGTCGAGAGTGCACCTCACGAGGTACCCGAATGACCCGCATGACCGCTCCCGTTAATGGATGGTTATTCCCACGACCAGGAGTCGGAGACCGCTCGCTACCTAGATAGGCATACCATTGCCTAGAGCGCGCGGTACTTCAACAGAATATGAAGACATAGGTAGTGACTGAGGATGCTGATGAGTGTGGAAAGTTTAGGAGCGGAAATAGAGCGTAACTGCGCGAGCACTTTGGGTGTAGCTGCTTCCAGTGTTGGAATTTGGACGAGTCTACAAGAATCCACATCTATCAAGGAAGTTGTCTTGAGCATTTTTGATAAAAAATACCGACTTGTTATAGCAAGTCGGAACTACCAAAGCGGGACACTCAGCAACCCGAGACACTTTCATCAGGACACTTGTTAAATCACAACTATTAATAAAAACACAATCTACGTGCTTAGAAAACATTGCCTTAAGAATATGTGTTATGGATATAAAAATGTATATATTTATTGTAAGTTTAAATGTTAAATGAAAGTTGATAACATAATAAATGCATTTTTAAAAGAAGTCCGATTTTCGTATTCTTCGGCTATCGCGATATGTACGTAAAATCCGTAATAAAACAGTGTCCGCTCGTAACATCTAAAGCATACTAAATGTGCTATTTTTACCATTTTAATATAATATGATAATCATATTTAAAAATTTATCAGTTGGTTTTTATTGAATTTAATACGATGCATCCTTTGCAACAAAAATAATTACGATATAGTGAGTGATCGATTTCTATCGATTCCAAAGAGCAAAAGCGGGTGATCCGTTTTAATGGATCCGACTTTTCCAATAATTATTTAAAGTAACCGACGATTCCTATACAAAATCCTCCGCCAGCCGTACCCAGACTAGCCAAAAGAAAGAAAAGAGAAGAAAAGAAAAGAAGAAAAGAAAAGACAAAACACGACTAATCAGAAAAGACGATTTCCCTATCACAGTCAACGTCTGTCTCCAACCAATCCAGCCATCTCCAACCCATCAAGTCGCCCGCTATCAACACACAAACAAAAATCGCCCAACCAATTCCATCCACGAATCCATAAATCCGACACCATCACCGAATCCGCCTCACATCTCCCATATCTCTCTCATCTCATAATATGACTCCCCATTCTACATCGGGCTTAGGACTTATTCTACAAATCCACCATCCATTCTGTGCTGAACCTCTTCATAACCAATGCTGTCTGAATAAATCCCATAGAAACTCCGTGCATGAAGAAGCAGCGACAGCGCCGCCTGCTGACGTGAAGCTTCTATGGAGTGCAACTCGTGTTTTCTGGTGTGTGCCGTTCGAAGCAATGCGTGAGAGATTGTTGAAAGGGGGAAGCGAGCTCCAGACATTAGAAAAATAACCGAGTCCTGAATCGGAAGTTGGGTTTTAGTAGCAAGGGACGAGCCGCCTGTAAGGAATAGTTGTAGACTTTGGATACACTTTTCAAAACTTTTGAGTTATAGCTCTTAGCATTTGGATCAGTGGTCTGTGTGAGAGACCTAAGGATTCTGGAATACACTAGAGAACACCACTGATGCAGCAAATCGCCCAGGATCCATGCGCGATATTGACAGAATTACATGATGATACAATTTACAGCAGCATTTGCTTTTCTGAGCCAAGCCTAGCCAAAGGTTCAGAGTACCTACATGTATATGAAGTTCTCCTTCAACAAGAGAATTCAATGAACAAGTAGCGAGAATTAGAAATGAGAGCGTAGAAAAAAAGGCAAAGGCCATGGTCAGTCAAGCATGTCGCCATTAGGCTTCCACGGCTCTAGGACGGACCCGATGGCCAAGTGCCCTATGTCTAAAGAAGCTCTCCGAAGCTTGAAGTCCAACAGCCACCTTGGCATATTTGTTGGCCATCTCGTTCCATTCACGCGGTATCATCCAGAAAGAAACATGGACTCCCTTTGACTGGAGCCTTCGAATCTCGACCAGTAGCAATTTCCACAGATCCTGGTTTTTGATAGCGACTCGGCAGCTCAATCTCCAGTCGTAGGTCTCCCAACCGGAAGTTTCCCAACGCCTTATCCTATCCGTGGCATTGATCGCAACGTATTCGGAATCTGTTGCGATAACTACACTTCTCCACCCCACATTGCAGTCCGTATCCCAATCTCGAAACTGCAATGCAGCAATAACGGCTCGGAGTTTGGCACGGTTGCTTTTATGCTGGTAGGCAAGCCTGTAGGACCTCTTATCTCCATAGGGTAGCATATGCCTCCCGTATGGGTCAATGTACCGTTTGGGGAGTAGGCAGAAGGGCGGAAGACAAACGCACAATTGGCCTGAGGATTGTTCTGCCCATTATTTTGGCAGGCTCCGTCAGTATAGATCAGAATTTCGTGGGGGTATGATTTGCGGATATACCGATACTCGTTCTCGAATACCTGCTGTGGCATATCGGAATCCCGAGGGGGTTCGAACAAGGAGGGGTCGATTATTGACATCGTGTTGTGCAACGTCCCGACAGTTGCTGGTGCGGATTTGCCCTCGTTCGAATCGCAAACTTTGCACGAACCAGGAGCGACAATCTGTTGCCTGGTCCAATTAAGAGCATCGTCCTGAAAGTCGGAAGTCGTATTTGGAGCAGTGATACTCAACTGATTGGGACACCGAATGGCAGTGGTCGCAGGACATTCTGAGACGTGAAAATTGGGCGTTGGTTCCTAGACGGGAAACTTAGAATTCTGGATCCGCGCAGCAAGGGTTTAATGTACTTCGCTCCATCCCCGCCATATTCTCAACACATCACTCAGGTGTTGACGGATCCGGAGATGGAGGAGATGGAGGAGATGGAGGAGATGGAGGAGATGGAGAAGATGGAGGAGATGGAGGAGATGGGACAGTGCCGAGATACACTAGCAGTATTGCCGGGCATCGCTGGATTGGGACACCGCCTTGAATCCAGGAACAGCCCTCATTCTTCCATCGTCATGCGACTCGGCTTCCGCCGTTCCGCAAGTCCCGACCTCCATCCTTCTTTCATCCGTTTGCTTCCCTATCCAACGACGACCCGACGACCATCAAGGCCCCATACCCGTATCTTCCGTTCCGCAAGTTCCGCAACACTCGTTTCCTTCCGATCAACATCCGCTTTCTCTTCCAGCCCTTTTCTTAAAGTACGAACATGAACAGTCCTGGAGAAGCATACAGTCACGTTTCGCCGGATGATAATGACGATTCCAACACCAACCCCGACATCAACAGCAACAATCGCCGCCAGAGGATCAAACACGCCTGCGAACCTTGCAAGAAGAGAAAGCGGCGCTGTGACGGCGAACAGCCATGTGCTACCTGTATCAAATACGAATATAGATGCTACTTCGAAGCGGTGCAGAGGAAACGCCGGAGTCGTCAACCGGAAGGATCACCTAGTAGTCATCATGATGTACTTTCGGTTGGGACTCCTCTGAGCGTCGTTGGAGTTCCTCCTGAAAGTAATCGAGAGGCGGCGGCGACGGCGACGAACGGGACAAGCCCGAGGGAGGCCAATGCTAGTGTCGCATTTGCTCAGCTGCTTCGGAAGCGACTTGAGCCTCGTCAGGCAGACCAGCCCCAGGCAAGAAGCTCCACCTGGAATATCGGAATAAGCGAGGAGCAACAAGAACTCCCTTCGGAACTCACGAGGCTCATTACGAAAGAGCAGATGAGGAGGCTTTCAGAAGCATACTTTGGCACGATCCATCAACTGTACGGCTTTCTGAACAGGGAGGTATTCGACGCCAAGATTGAGAATAGATGGCAGATGATCTATGATCCGGACCCATACGATTCAATTCTGTGTGGTGTCGCTGCACTGGGATCCCAGTTCTTAGGAGACTCTTCCACATCTCTCGAAATGTCACTAGTAAATTGTGCTAAGAGGATGCTGGAGATCACCAGTGCCTCGAACACCCCTTCCTATGAGAATGCAGCATCATGGACATTGCGGACAATCTACCTCCGAAGCACTACTCAACCATACGCTGCCTGGATAACGAGTTGTACCGCAATGCTCACTATTGATGGTCTCGGGGTGGTAGCAGAGGCTGATGACGAATCCGAGGATGGTATCATCAACAAGCGAAGACTGTTCTGGTGTGCGACTGTGCTCAATACTTGGGTTTCGAATGAATATGGACGCTCGAAGGTCGAAGTCTCTAAGCAACCCGTAGCCCACCTGGTCAGAAGACCCGGTGACTTCACTCCCGATCTTCTTTATCTCTACAGAATCTCTGAACGACTAGACCCCAAGAAGCCTTCCACGGCATCTGAATTTGAAGCTGGTATCGCAGAACTTGTTACATTCCAACCTCCCGCGGACGGATTGTTTCTTTCGCAAAGCAATCTGGCCCTGGCTTTGTATCGCCGTCTTCGCTTTGTCTCACCAACGATATCTGACGAGACGATCCGGAGAGTTATCGACATGGGTAATGCCGGACTGGATGCAGTCTTGCGACTTATAAGGCTGCGCCAACCATGGTGGCACGTTGCCAATGTGCCGTTCCAATTCATATGTACACTTCTTGTCATCGACACCGAAGAGTCGCTGGAGCACCTTGCCCGGGCAGTGGATACTTTGCAGGCGGTTGCGGAATGCTTTCCAACCCGTTCTCTGACAGACACTTTGTCTATGGTCAGGAAGCTCATTCAATTGGCTTGTAAGCAGAAGAGGGGGCAACTCAGCCTCTTAGAACAAAGTTTGGCCCCTCGACCGGCTCCTATGAGAGATCAGTTGAACTTACAGATGAGTTCTGGTCAGGGTCAGCAGTCCGACCCTTTGTGGGACAGTACATCCCCAGCATCGGCTGACTTCTCCGACTTTGACTGGGAGAAGTTCTTTAGTACTGATGTCTCTGTTTTGGAGTACCCTGCCCCACTTTCTTGAGCCACTTAAGCCGAAGATGTCTCGGACGGCTCTCCAATACAGCCTCTTTCCGGATGGCCGGTGCCAGACTTACAAATAACACCACGGAGTTCTAATTGGGGCGAAATATTCACATATCCACTCTGTGCTGCGAGAAAATCGCATCGGTGCTCTTTTATCATCCAGGCATCTAAAGCCTAGACCTTCCGCCACGAGTGCGAGTCTTACATGATACCAACAAGGGCTAGGTATATACAGATTGCATCATCCAAAATTGCGCATCGAAGAGGCAACTTTTTGCAATGAATGTATATTTATTTTCGATGATAAATCAAGTGAATGTGGAGAAGGGGACTAAGTTTATCTTTGTTCTCCCAAGATACTCTGGCCACTCACCCTGCTTCTACGATCTCACCTCCTCCGATATCTTTGTTCGACCCAGCCTCTTACTCGGGACTATTCCGAGAGGTGAAAGTCAGGATTCCTCCAGAAAACTTCTCCCAGGCCCCTGGGCATCTACTGCCAGCGATTACGAGTAGAACTCCACCGAGGATAACCGTTAGTCCAGCAAAGACCGCAGCTCCCACATAGCCCTCTCCAGCCTCAATTATGGCACCCGCGATCGGTGGACCTGGTACCTGTCAGCATAGCCCTTGACTTTGCCAATGCGGATGCGGATTCCAAGGGGCATAGCCCGACAATTGTACCTTCGCACATGCGGAAGCACAAATTGCAAAGCAGCGTTCGAAGTTGGGAAACTTGCCTGCAAGGGCCCCGAAACCGTTCATCGTCACTGCAAATCCCATTCGAGCTCCGAATCCTGACATATCTTGGGTGGCATAGGCTACCGATGCAGCTGGAAGGGACGTGAATCCTCCCGAGAAGAATCCATACAACAGTGCAAAAATAACCAAGCCAGGTAGGTTAAGTACGAAGGGCCAAACGAAGAGCAGAACACCAGCGACCACAACAACCGTGGCGTGTATAAACAGTGGGCCTCTCCTAGAAACATGATTATCAGATAACGCTCTAGAGATAGCAAAGATTCCAACTCACTTGTCCGCTATGATGCCTGGGAGGAGTCGACCAAAGAAGCCGCCAGCGTTCAGCAAGATAACCAAGTAGTACGATTGCATGCCATGTAGATCGACATTGCTCTCAGTGGCCCTCGACTGGATGTAATAGTATGGTATGTATACACCGCAAAAACTGAGCACCATACCCATCACCAAAGCAAAGTAGGTCGGCTCACGCATAGCTCGGAATTCAAGCAATGGGCCCTTAGCCTTGCTGGGAAGATCCGTCCGTTGCTTCATCATAGCGCATGCAACAGCCAGCGTAACCAAAGCCAGCAAAGCTACAGCACGACACGCCCAACGAAAGCCGACGCGTTCGAGTAGCTCATTAAAGACAATGGGATATATGATACCACCAATGCTCGCACCACATGCCACGACGCCCGTCGCCAAAGCCCTTCTCTTGACAAAGTAGGTCGCTGGAATGCCGACACTTGGAAGGAATGTCAATCCCATGCCCAACCCTTGACAGAATCCCTGGCTCAGCAAAAGCTGCCAGTATTCCAAGTGTGTCTTATCAGTATTCTCGAAAGTGCCGTGTCCTGAAAAGGAGGCCATAAAAAGACCAATGAAAATCATTACGGACCCAACGGAGCTCATCAGGCGGGCGTAACCGGCATCCATCAAACGCCCGCTGAACGCTCCGCAGAAGAGCAGTAGACATGTTTGAACTGAACCAATCCCGGAGATTTTCGATTGCGTTGCAAGTGCTGGAGGTTGAATATAGTATGTCTGAAAAACTCCGAACGAAGTGACCAGTCCCCTATCAGAAATGTTGGCATTCAGGTGGGAAACTGCATCTTCTTAACCTACCAACTGGAGAACATCAGAAAGAATCCTGCGAGAACCTGCACCCAGGCCAGAATTCCGCCATCGGGAAAGTCGACGGCAGGTGTTACTGGTGGCTTATGATGCTCAAGATCGTAAGTGGCCGCACTCTTGCCACCTTCTGGGACCATGGATGGGGATGGCTGTGGTGTAGCTACGGCAGCCTTCTCCGCCGAGTATATTTCGATCGAATTTACAGCAGAGCCATTGAAGGATGAGCTAGAGGTCTTTCTTCCCGTGATCGGATCCATATCCAGTTCCGACGGCCTCAGATGATAGTCGAACCTGGTCATGTATTGGAGATTCGTTCTGCTCGAAGAGTTTCCGAGAGGCTCTTTCTTCGTTTCTCGTCCGGTTGCTGAGTGTTCGCAGCACGAGGAGAAACTCTGCGGTACTGGTGTCAGCTTAACCCCGTCGGGTTTGACGATCTGTCGATTACTCGGCCATTCATGTCCAACTACACACTCCTAATGGCGCAATTTCGCTGCCAGCCGATTGATGTTGCGTTGATCCGGCCCATGGTCGCAACGGGACTTATGTGGGTACTCCGTGAGCCCTGCTAGACCCTCCTACCCGGAGCTTCCACATATGGCGTCAGGCCGAGTCAGAAGCCGAGTGCTCGTGGGATGTCCGGGAGCTCTACCCGAGCATGCAGCTTTTGCAGCAATCCGGACCCCACGGAAAACCTTGAATTTTACTTCTAATCGTGGTGGGTTTGTGCAATGGGTCTTGGCCCATCACAAGATACTGCTAACGTCATTACGGAGGTATTTGCTCCAGTTCCCTTCGAATATTGGCTTACTTGATTGGCTGGATTCCTTGTCGAGACTGGCCTTCTTTCCTACTGTGGTTGAGGGTCCTGGAAAAACCAAGCACGGAGTACCGACAATCAAATAAACAACGTTGCGCACCCCATGCATTGATCCATGTAAAGCTTCCACTAACTCTCGGAATCGGAATTAAGGAAAACCCCGAAGAGAAACAAGAAAATATCCGTTCATTCAGTCTTGGCCTCCAGGAAATTCTCCGGTGCCGCTACGTATCTACGTACGTAGTAGTATCTAGATCCTGCCTGCGGAAGCTAGCCCTCCTGTCCACTTCTGGTTGAACTTTCTGGGGAAACACACTTACCACGGTACAGGCCTAAGTATTACCCCTCGAGGGTGCCTCAAAAGTTTAGTTTCCACTTTAAACCCCCTGGTTACCCTACCCTCGAGGGGTAATACTTAGGCCTGGGACGTAGCACTTGGAAGTAAAACTGAGGATCAAGTTAAGCCCCATCTGTAGTGTGATTCTTTGAAAGAACTATTCACAATTTTCACAGCGCGCCTTAATGCAGAACTATTCATAGAATCGTGGTGATCTTAGGGAAACCTGGAGTCCGAGGCAAGCTAAGCTCCGAGCAGCAAAATCTGATACGAGTAAAACTGAAGCAGAATAGAGAAGTCCTGTGTGTAGGTAAATAACGGTAGACTACATTAAAGTCGGCGACTGTTATCTGATGGAATTTTATCCGTCCACCTTCCTAAAACTCGGTGCTGATTCCGAAATCAATTTAATACTTGCTGGATATTATCATTATGGGGCAACGATCTCTTACGGAGCTCCACCTTCGTGTTAGCTGTATTGATTTACCCCCCGTCCCCCCTCTCTAATAATTGTCAGCGTGGCCACGATAGCACGAGCCAAAACACAATAAAAATCTATTCATACCATCCATGGATCACACCCTGTATTGAGGCTTGTAATATATTGGCTTTTGCTTCCTAAGCGCAAATCGAGAAGGCCGGTAACGCAATTCAATAGCCGTGAAGATCAACTCCAACCGAGCACGGATGGTTTTTTTTCCCCAGGCAATTTTTGTACATGCCAAGTTCTCGCTAGAATCTGGCATGTATTGAATTGTGAAAGATCCATGGTCAGTGATGTCCTAGACTTTGCACTGCTAGTGGCCGGGAGGGTGGTATCTGTAAGGGTCTTAGCAAAGGTGTCAACATTTCTGCCTTTGGTTCTTTGAGTAAAAGGGGTAGGTAGCATCACTCGTCTTCGCCTGACGACCGTTATCCATATATTTGGCTGGAATATTCTGAATCAACGAGCCAAGCTCTCTAGTTATAACCAAAATGATGCATTGAAGTCGTCAATCCGACCTTTGATATGAAAACAAGCGATAAGTATAGTGATCACAGACTGGTTTACAACGTTCGAACGACCTTTGATCCTCTATCTACAACACAAAACCCTTGAAATATCCAAGAACATCGGTACCAACATAGCCTGTGTACAGATCAGGGCGAATTACAATCGCGCTGGTTAGATCTTGTCCCAGATCAAATGATGTGGTCAATATAGCCCCCGCAGCAGTTTTCACTTCGAACAGAGTATCTCTTTTCGAGACCTCCCAAACATCTACGTGAGCATCCAGTGACTGTGGCAGGTCAAGCGCCAACCCTTGAGGGTTGAGAACGACAAAGTTCCCGTACCGAAGCAACTCATAGAAACGGATCTCGACGACCTTTGCCTTGGCGAAGACGAAGTCAGGAGTCCTCGCACCTGCCACAAACGCGCCCACGGAGCTGGCGACGACGGCGGCGGATGAAGGTGCATAAGTGATGCCCATTCCCGTAATGTTCGCTGCATTCTTGCCGATCAGGGCAACGTATTCCTCGGCCGTCTTGAGGGTCGTCCGTACCAGCTTTGCGGCAACGTCCACGACGCCCTTGGCGGTCGCTCTTCGCTCCGCATCGTAGATTTGCAGGACTTGGGTGTTGAAACCACTGATGGCGAGCTTCAAGCGCCACGCCAGCGCGAAAGCATCCGCTGCGCCCGTGTTCAACCCTTGGCCACCATTCACGGCATGCACATGAGCGGCGTCCCCAGCCAGGATCACCCGGCCGTGGCCTCGCGAGACGAAAGCCTCTGCAACCCGCTCTTGGACTGTGGAGTATGTCAACTGGAAAGCCTCCACAGGGAGGGCAAGGATCGATGAGCGCTTACCATTGTAGGTACTGAACCACTCGGTCTCCTTGAAGACGACCTTGTAGGGAGCCATGTGCTGGCTGATCGACTGCTGGGTCTTCTCCTGCGTCACCTCGCCCTCCAGCAGGACGTAGAAGCGCGCCATGCCGCGCTCCCGGGGGATCCACGAGACCCGCGACTGGCCGTCGACCTCGAAGCTCACAATCTCGTCACAGACGGGGAAGTCCGTCTCGAGGAAGGTGTCGAGCACCGCCCAGCACATGTTCGGCATGTCGCCCGCGAAGCCGATGCCCAGCTGCTTCCGGCACGCCGAGTGCGCGCCGTCCGCCGCCACCAGGTATCGCGAGCGGATGACGCCCTTGTCTCCGACGACCCGGACCTCCACCCCCTCGGCGCTCTCGGTGATGGACTCGGCCGTGACGCCGTACCGGACGCCCACGTCGAGGCGTTTCAGCAGGGCTTTCTCAATTTCCGGCTGGCCGATCATCAGGAATTCCTTGTACTGCGAGTTCTCCAGGCTGACCCACCACGTGTTGTTGTGGCTGACGAACTTCCCATCTTTGAAGACGGAGCTCGCTTTCACATTTTTCTTCTTGTCAGCATCTCCTCATCTTTTTTTTTTCTGGGTCGTGGCTTCTCCGTCTCTTCTTCTTTACGTGTACGTACTGTTACATTTGAGGCCCTTTGGCCGCAAGTACTTCAAGACGTCGGCAACCTCATAGACTTGCTGCGTGCGTGCGTTCAAGGCATCTGCTCGTCCGATTGGAAGCGGCCCTTCTCGCTGTTCTGTTTGTTTGTTTTGTGGTCATTAGCTTATTGTATTGAAGCATGAAAAAGAAGCTGCTGCGATAGAGGATGGAGGTAACTCACCGAGAATACAGACAGAGAGTCCTTGCTCTCGGGCAAGAAGCGCTGAGAATAAACCGGTTGGACCACCTTTCACTCCTGTTATCTCGCGGGCTTCCTGCTAGGTTTTTTTTTTTTTTTTTTTTTTTTCTTTCGTTTTCTTTTCCACTTACCTCCGATAATCGTGATATCAAAGTCCGCTGCTGGCTTGGGCAATTGCATGGTGAGGGATGATAGCTAGGGTCTGCCTGGATCTGTGCTCTTGTTGCTCTTTCCGAATGCGAGTCGCTAATCTGGGGGTCTCGTCAGACTTGGTCAAGTTATCCAAGTTTATTCAAGTCAAGTTACTCCGAGTATTCGAGTTATCACTCAAAATGGCAAGTTCACTACGGAGGTATAAACGTTTGAAGCATCAAGAACACGCAACTCGCTTAAAGCTTGCTTGAACGCTTGAGCCATGTCGCAAGACTATTATTATCGTGCCGTCTCTCCACTGCCCCGGGCCAAGAAAAGTTTCTCAAGCCCAGGATTATCAATATTACTACTAATATGTCCTTGCACACTTGCCAGATATGGCTACCACCTCCCGACTTGGGAACTCTCTCCATCTTCTCGCGGCTCTCTCCCATGTCCTGAGTCGCATTGCCGGCTGTATGATATCATAACCTTCCTTACCGGTACTTTTCATGAACCTTGTAGCCGGATATTATCCTTTGATTCTCAGGCCGCGGGCCGACGGACGGACGCGCACTCCCGCAACCGATTTCAGTTTCTTATCCAGCTGTCCCCAGTGATAGACGTCGTAGTCGGCCACCCTTGATGCCACGAAGGCCGGCCCGCCCAAGGCAATCTGCGGCGCACCTTCGGACCAGCAGCTTGTTCTAGAGCAGATCAACAACAATATTGGACCTGTTGGATCGCCGGTAACGATCATTGATTCCTCTCGTGCAGCGCACGTGGCCTCCTTGCGCAGAGCCGGCGATCAAAATAATATTGGAATTCTGTCTGCTCCCCCAGGTTCAAGGCAGCTGACTCCTCCTATCCGGTAAGAAGGAATCACGTGCACTAGCTATATAACAGTGGTAGTTGTATTTGCAAGGAGGTTGGGGGAGGGGGGTCCCTGGGGGTATGCCACGCTAAGCGAAGCATGCTCATCCGCAACCCGGGGCATGCTGGTAAGTACCTATAAGCGAGCTGGCCTTTTCTCTCTCCCTCCAACTACGTCGGGTCGATATCTACTGATGTACCGATACCGGCAACTCTCTCTTTTTGGCAATTGCTACCTATTGTCAGATACCATATCGACCGAAAAGGAAGGTGCTGAATAGAAAAGAACATAGGTAAAACACCCCTCTTCTACGCTATAGAGGCCTTTCCACCTATCTATCAACTTGAACCCTTGAAGCTGTTGGTCGAAACGAGCTTTTGTGAAAGAGGCATTGGCACCGACCGACTTTTGTCATAACGTCGGCGGGATTGGATCTTCCTTCAATCCAACGTACTAGTACCTCAGATAGATGACTCGTGAATAGCTATAATATCGATCATGAGGGGTTTTTTTATTTTTTTGTATAATAGTTTCTAGCTTGTCCATGCACCCATACAGGAAGTACGAGTCAATGCAGATTACAACAAGGAAGTTAAGAACTCTTAATTATTTACTGATTTGGGCGAAGGTAGTGGACATACGTGAGTACGTTGTAGCAATGGCCAAGTCAATACCTAGGGATACAGCGTATAGCTTCGAGGCTCATACCGCTATAGGAAACGCTACCAAATAATATCTCTGGCTGCCAGCCTATTCCGGTTCCAATCCTGAGAAGAGGCTCGTAGCAAACAAAGCCAATTCCTCTGCTCGCGGGTGCGGGTTCCACGCTCTCAGGTTTGGGAAGTCACCGTTATCGTCATCGCTATGAGGCGCTCTAGGAGCTTCTGTAAGCCATTGGAGTGTGTCTTGCCCCAAGGTCGGATAAGTAGGGAGGGGTTTCGGGTACGGGGTCGTCGGCCTGGTCTAGATTCTCTGGGGGGGGTCTGTTCCTTCGTCCAGGGGTCTTTCAAGAGAGGCTCATTTCCGTGCCCGGGGTCCTTGGGAGGTTTATTTCTGGTGCCTCTTGGCGGTCCGCTATGTTCCGCTTCTTCTTCTTCCGTGCTTATGTCCTTTTTACATCCGTGTCTACTTCCCCGCTATGGGTCCTCGTTTGAGCTGTTGGGATCGCTTGACTCACCTGCTCTAGAACATGTTTCCCCTCGCTGACCGTGGCCTTGGGCTCGTCCTTGGCGATTTCCCCCTTTTTTAGTCATCCCTTTGCCGATTCTTATCTTTGGAAATATACCCTTGGTGATGTTAAGGGTACTGAACTCTCATCCGGGGCTGTTGGGGTCGAGATCGAATATGCTCACCTTGGCCTTGGTGCTGATGGAAACTGCCTTGGATCTTGTCATTTCGGGTGGGAGGCGGGGGGCGGGGTCGTCTCTAGGCTTGAAGCTGCTATGGCTACGTACGGATATTGTGAGTACAGTTGGTGTTACCAATAGGTTCATCGCCCTTAAAGAAATTTGCTTGGTGGGCTTTTCAGGAGAATTCCCGTTTGGAAGTACTCGCGAGGCATAGAAAACACTCTGAATTGTTAGATTATCCCTCTTGGTCCGTCCGTCTGCTTTGTTCCTCGGGTCGAGCATTCTGTTTTTGAGGAAGATTTTGTTGGTGATCGGAGAGGTCTTTGAGGCGATTGTTGCTGCCCAAGTTATAGTTCCTTGAGTGGTCTCTCTTAGCTAGCAGAGGCTCAAGCGAATTGCGTCGTGAATTTGAATTTCTACGAGGAGGCATTGAAGGTGGGCGAGCAGCTCTCCCTGCTGCCTTTGCTGCCTCGAGCTCCTCCTTGTACCTCTTGACTTCCTCGACCTTTTCCTTACACCACTAGGCATCCCTTTGGCGCTGTATCCCCTCGTTTAACGATGTAGGTGTATCAGTTACTCTGCTCAAACGAATAACACCTGAGATTTTCGAGAAGGTCTCCACTTCTTCGATTTGGCGATTGTACCGGCTAATTTCAACATTGTTTTACTTGGAGTCAAATCCCTTTTTAGTTGCTTGGTCTTCTTGCTGTTCCTCGTAGCTCTGACGGCGCTCCTTTTCGTTGGGCACGATCGTAGCTCTTCTATTAGCGTAGCCTCTTTGCTTTCCTAGGTATCGTATTTCTTTAGATAACGAGTGCTTTTTTTTGGTTGATAAGTATAGTCAACTTATTTCCTCTTTCAGCATATTGCTTAGCTGCTAACATGAAGAAGTTATTTACATCTTATTAAGCAAAAGCATATCGGAATTGGAAGTTCATAGTCTTTTAAACCTTTACTCTTGATGTCTAAAAAGTGCTCGATGATCATTCTTGCTTTCGGGTGATTGTTAAGCTTAGAATGTAATAGCGCATCTATAATAGTACCGGTATCTGAAAAGAAGTTGGGAGTCCCTGAGGGCATGCTACGCTAAGCGAATCATGCTCATCCGTAACCGAAGCATACCCGTATAAGCGAGCTGCCCTTTTCTCTCTAATGACGTCGGGTCAATATTGATGTACCGACAGGTCCCTTGCACATACGACGTACTGTATATACTCCCCGCTCCCGAATTGCTACAGCCTGAGGGTGCCTCAAAAGTTTAAATCTCCACTTTAAAGGCCTTGGGTACCTTACCCTCAGGGTGTAACACTTACGCTTGTGACGTTGTACTACTACTACGTATATGTCCACATACATAAGCTTGGTGATCTTGGCAATGCACAATACAGAAGTACGCTGTTCGTGAGTCCTACAGTGGGACTGTGAGAGCGGTTATCTTTTGGTTCTGGTTGATAGGGGTTGTCACAGAGTCGCAACTCACTACTAAACATGCAATCTTTGCTGTTCTCAAGCTAATTTGGCGGTAGAGACACCCTACCGCTTCTTAAATCTTCCCTAGTATAGCGGACCAGTTGTTGTCTGACAATCTTTCGCAGGGGGGCAGATGATCTTACAAGGGGAATTACGTCGACACTAAAGCAATAGGGGCTGAAAGATAACTGCTGTCCCTCCTTGTATGTTTCGGATAATCTTCGTAGTGTACCTCGTCCCTGGGTATTTGTCACCGAATTATATCAAGGGTCTCGGGATTTCTCTTAGCGTTGAGAATCCGGAATCAAATTACTCGCGTGGCCCGTTGAAAGAAGCTCTAGAGAGTCAGTCAGCTCGACGACCAGCTTCCTCTCTTGGCAAGCCACGCTAGTGTCCAGAATGGCAAGTAGTGAAGCTTGTCAACCTTCCTCTCGCAGACAGCTCAATCACGGCTCCCACCACCAGGCTTAAGGGATGTGTATTGGCCGCGGACACTGGTACGTCCGTTTTCTTGCTTGTTGCATACGTCGCAATTGCTCCGGTGTGGATCTACGGAGCAGCCCTCTGTCATCATCAGCCAAGCCTTTCGGATTCGGAGAGAGAGCCGACCCATGGGGCCGTCTTTGACTTGCAGACTCCAGAGTAGATGCGTATTTATATGACGCGGTATCATCTTCTCGAGTAGATATCTACTCATCATCGGAATTCACGTTCTTTTACATGAAGCAGCTCTTCTTGACCTTTTCAAGTCGCTATACCTCCCACGAATCCACAACCATGAAGCTCTCTCGCGAGTATGCGAGCCTCTTTGAGGACTCCGCAGCCTTTGGCGAGATTCATCCCGAGCCCAAACGTGCCAGCAACCCGACCGCGGAGCGAATTCTCTCCATCATCCAGGCTTTCGGTCCCGCCGACGCGCGAGAGGTTCACCGACCAGTGTTCGAAGAGTCCGTGAGACGTGCGGTGACGAACAACAAGCCCATCCAGATGGTGCTTCCCGCATTCCCATTCAAGTCTCCGAATCACCGCGAAAAGACCCTCGGCAACTTTCCCGACCTGGGTGAAGAGTTGGCGCTCGCCCGGCTGGACAGCCTGCGCGCGCAGGTCTGTGATGTGTATCCCGACACAGAAATTACCATCGTTTCTGATGGGCTTGTCTACAATGGTTCGTTACCGAAAGACACGTTGAGCGGTGTGGGTACTTTGCTAACTTTTGCCAGATCTTCTCGGCGTCAGTGAAGAAGATGTTTTCCGGTACGGTATGGCTCTCCGCGAATTGGCGGCCGAGAAGTTCCCCCTCTTGAAGTTTGCTCGTCTCCGTGACCTCTACTCGGAGGTTGTCAACGCTACCACCCTGGAAGAGTACGTCGCCAACTCATCCTACTGCCGGGAGAAGATCATGAGAGACTTTCTCCCCCCAGGATTCGACGCTCACGTCGCAGTGAGAGACGACATCAACGTGCTCACGACCTATCGCGGCTATATCAAATTCCTCGAGTCGGATCTGTGCGAAGAGCCTTCGAGACAAGGCCTGAGCAAGAAGAAGGTCAAGCACATGAATGAAGCCACCGCCAGAGCCATGATCACGAGAGGAGCAGTGAGTATCTCTCATCCCTCCTTATATCTGATCGAAAACCCAGTCTGACCACCAAAAAAAAAAAACAGGCCTTCTCCGCAGCGGTCAAATTCGCTTTCCCGGATGCAGTCCGCATTTCCATTCACGCCTCGCACCACGAGTACAAGATGCCGATCTCGCTCCTGCCGGGGAAGACGTGCGGGTACACGACCCCTTGGCACTCTGCCACTGCCATGGAGCAAGACGGATCTTTCCACTTCGGACATCGAGACGTCTTTGACAGCGACGAGAACTACGAGCTCGTGTATCGTCATGGTCGACCCAGCTATTTCAGACGCAAGTCCGAGCTCTACAACTGGGGCACCGACGTTGAGATCCATCCCATATACCCGTGTGGGCTGATGATCACGCCCAAGGGGCCGGCCGCGCTGCAAGACATTGAGATGAGGAAGGTCCGCGGGCTGGCGGAGTACAACTCTCCGGTTGTCATGCGCGGCTTCAGGGACACCAAGGACCTCGAGAGCTTCAAGGGGAAGGCCAGAGAGATGGGGACCATCCTGCCGTGGAAGTTCGGCGAGGTGCTGGTGGTGAAAGACGGCGGCGCCGAGACCATGGGCCTGAACGACGTTCTCAGCTCCGAGCCCATGCCCATGCATTTCGACGGCCTCTTCAAGACCAAGAAGATCGACGTCGCCGGCGTCGAGAAGCTGGTTCCCCAAGCTCCACAGTAAGTCTGATCCAGCCGACCCCCCATTTCACAACCACCACAGCCACCAGCGCAAGTGACCCAAAAAAAAAAAAAAACCAACGAGGTACTATCAGACTTTCTCTCCCTCTCTCACTGACACACACACAGATTCCAATTCTTCACCGTCGTCACACCCTCCCCAGAGAACTCCGGCCTCACCCTCTTCGCCTCCTCCCGCCTCTTCTTCGAGCACCTCCCCGGGCCCTACAGCCTCTCCCAGCTGCGCGCCCTAACCTGGAGCGTCGAAACGCCGGCCTTCAACCACACCAGACTCTCCGAGCTCGACCTCGTCGTCCCGCACCCGACGCTCCAGACGCCCTGCCTGCGCTACCACGAGCCGTGGGGCCGCGACAAGACGCGGTTCGATCCCACCGCGGTGCACATCGCGGACGGCGCGCACGATCACCTGCTGCCGGTCATCGACGCCCTGCTGTATGATCGCCGCGTGTGCTACAGCCATGAGTGGCGCGAAGGGGACCTAATTGTGAGTGATAATATTAACATGTTGCATACGCGCAGCGGGTTCGAGGCTGGGGAGCCGAGAGAGCTGTGGAGGATTCATGTTGAGTGAGGGAGGCGGGGGGTGTGAGACGTACTTGTATATATATATATGTGACCGCGGATTATTCCAGTGGGATTTTATGGGAATGAATGGCTCGGATGTGTGTTTTATGATGTAATCTTAGTTTGGATCTGTATACCACCGTGGAAGCAGACGTCTGTCAGGTCCGCTCTCCCGAGACCACGACCCCCTTCTTATGAGGATGAGGGTTCAATTGATTTTTGCAACCATCTTAATTCTTTTTTTTTTTTTTTTTCCTTTCCTTTTTTTTCTTTTTTTTTTCTTTCCCCCCGCAAAAATAAAAGTTCACCAGCTCCATACTCCATACTCCATACTCCATACTCCATACTCCATACACCCCAACCACCCACCCATCCATCCATCCATCCTCCATCAAACAAGCAAAAAACAAAGCCGACTCCCCAGCTCAGCTCAGCTCAGTACTTACAACTATCTGCCTCATCACCGAATCCCCATCTCCCCACCAGCTTTCCCCCCATTCCCCCACCACTCCCCCACCACTCATCCCAAATCATCATCACATACCATCCATCCATCCATCCATCCATCCATCACCACAAAAACAACAAAACCCCTCCACCGCCTCAACAAATCCCACAACCTAACCTACCGGTACCTACCTACTCTGTAAAGCCTCCCTCCTCACAAGCCCCCACTCCCACTCAGCAACTAGCTTCTGCGAATTGCTGAGCCCCATCCTCCCCCCCCCCCCCCTTCCATACATTCTCCATCCCATCCAACCATTCCCCTATCCCCTCCCCCCTCCCATCAACTACCTAACCTAACCTAACCTAACCTAACCTAACCTCTCCAAAGTAAGTAAACAAGTAAGTAAGTAAATAAATAAATAAACCGAGCGAGCCACCTCGCTAAACCAACCGCATAAGCGAACTATATAAGCGAACAAAGTCACCCTTGAGAAGAAACGAGCGAGCGAGCCGTCCTCCGCCCCAGGCTGGCCAGCGAGCAGGACGCCCGCTGCAAGACGAGAAGGGAGTGTAGATGAAGAGGGGGCGGTGCGGAGCGGGAGAGAAAATATATATATATACATATAAAAATTATATATATTATTTCCGCATCACTTACCCATCAGTGATTACTTTGTGGTAGAAAGTTGGTCCGGTTCCAGAAAAGTATACAAGGTATATTTGCGCTGTGTTGACAGAAGAGTAAATCATCGAGCGTGTCCTATTCCATGGTACAGCCAGCCAGCCGAGAGCAGCAGACGAGAAAAGGGAAAAAGAATCTCGGGCATCCCATCCAGTCCCAAATGCCCACGTACTATGCAGGAGACCGCCCCCGCCCCCGCCCAACCTCAACCCTTAGCCTAACATCCCGTCCCATCCGAAGCCATCGTCAATCGTCAAAAATAGAATAGCAAACACCCTCCTACCCGCCTTCCCACCCCTTCGCAATTCCCTGCCGGTCATTACCGCTCCCCAATGCAAGCTATCATGAGCTTCTCAAAGTCCCCTCTCGTCTCCCCCTTGATCCTGCTCGCCAGACTCTTCCTGAATCTCGCCTGGTAAGCCCCTTTCACCTGCGCCATGTGGTTCCTATCCCAGTGCGCGCGGATGACTCTGTTGACGAGAAGTACGTCCTTGGTCCCCAAGCCAGACATGGCTTCTTCGAGCATGATCGCGTCGCGCATGGCGCGATCGACCCCTGTACGAAGTTGGTAGAGGAGAGCGTCTTCCATGTGGCCGGAGAATTCCTGTTCAATAGATTAGCCAGGGGGGTCTTTCCACGAGGGAGGAGGCGAAGCTTGCCTTCTTGATCACAGATTCGAGATCTCTCGTAAACTTCTGCTTGTACGTATGCGCAATAGCTGAAATCTGCGCATTACTCCTCTGCGTCAGGATATTGCATACCAGCAGCTCATCCGTCCCCACCTTCCCCTCCGTCGCCTTATACAGGTCCATGACGTCGCGATCAATCTCCTGCGGAATAACTGGTGCGCTATCCTCATTCCGGTTGGCGGCCAGCACCATCAAGAAATGGCGCTCGGTCTTCATGGACAGGTCAGCTTTGATGTCTTTCTCGAGATTACGACGGTAGGTTCTCTGGTACGTTTCCTTGATGGCCCTCATATCGGCGTTGGAACGGCCAAGGAGCACATCATTGAGGAGCTTCTCGTTCGTGCCCGGCCCTTCGAGGGCTTTGAGGAGGAGGGCGCAGTCTTGAAGCAAGGGACCGCGGACAATGGCTACAAGGCCTTCTTCGAAATACCCTGAGACTTCGCTTTTGATCTCTTTGATCAAGTCCTTGCCGTAGCGCTGCTGGAACGTTCTCTGGATGACCGCCACTTGAAGAGGGTCCTTGTCACAGAGAGTTTGGATGAGCTGCTTCTCGTTTGTACCGAACCCTTTCATGGCTTTCTTCAAAGCCTCAGCGTCTGCTGCGCCATCGTAGGGGATATGTTGCGCAGGGCCGTAGCCGAGAGATGGGGGAGTGGGTTGTACGTGGGGCTGGCCATAGCCGTGTTGCGGGTACTGGACCGGAGGGGCCCCATAGCCACCTGGTGCTGGCGAGCCGTATGGCGGTTGCGGATAGCCTTGCTGGGGAGGGTATTGCCCTGGAGGAGGCTGGCCGTAGCCAGGCTGCGGTGGGGGAGGATATTGGCCCTGCGGCGGGCCGTATGGCTGCTGTTGGCCATATGGCGGTTGTGGAGGGGGCGGGTATCTGAGGATGAAATATCAGTCGTTGTCCGAAAAGAGTTGGGAGTTGGTACATTCATGGCGGGTAGATCTGAATCCGGGAGCTTTGCGCCTGATTGTCGCAAAACGGAAAACGAGGTAATCGACTTACTGCTGAGGGGGAGGCGCACCATACTGCTGGGGAGGAGGACCTCCATATCTGCGAGATGGGATTAGCGATATTGTGTGGTGTATGAAGCCTCGGATGCTTCGGAACGGGGTCGTCAGACTACGGCTCTTTGCGCTCACAGCTGTCGCAAACACCAAGGGAGCAGAGCGAAAGTACTTACTGCTGGGATGGCGGCGCACCGTATTGCTGGCCTGGTGGTGCATACGGCTGCTGTCCATAAGGAGGTTGTGGAGAATCTGTCCATGTCAGCTCGCGATCCATTCGTGATGCAGCTCCAGCTTTGGCTTTTATTTGAACTTACGGCCTGGCGGTGGCGCACCATATTGTCCTGGCGGAGGACCGTATGGAGGTTGGTACGCCATCTCGTCTTTGTCTGGTGTATGTGGACCCGATACCAAGGTATTGTGCTGAGGCGTCGAGGAGCTGTGGTGTTGTTGGTTTGCAACTGGTAGCTTTGGTCGCGATGTTGAGTAGTTGGTGAGACGGGGAGGGGGAGGAGGAGGAGGAGGAGGAAGAGTATGAAGTAAAGAACTATTATAAGTTATTTAGTAATACGGTAAAGTCGTCGTATTTCATCCCTCAGCCCCGGGGTAAGGCGGGCAGTGCTGACTCTGACTTGCGTGTCGAGGTGGGAAATTTGATAAAAGGATTGTTATTGTATGGAGTAATGGCGAATACAAGATCATCGGGAAGCATCAGCCACAGCAAGGCGGCTTGGCGGGAAGGAGGGGTGTGGCATGTGGCAGGTGAGGGGCAAAGAGCGGGGGAGGATGTGGCTGTGGATGTGGCTGTGGCTATGGCCAAGGTCACGGGTATGTGGCTGGGTCATGATGTGTCACGTGTGTTTTCGAGATAGATTCTAGAAGAAAGGAAGAATGACATAACGCACGCCCTGTATCCAGTCGGACTAACGTACCTGATGGATGCACTTGGTTTGCTCTATCTGATCTGAGCTGATCTGGTCTGGTAGGTACTACCTACCTACCATTCACAGCTGCGTGCTTGCGTGCCCGCCTTCCTGCCCTTTCCCGTCCCGTTTGACTAGTCACGAGAGCAGAGCAAAGAAAACGTGACTTGCTCTAAGTGCTGGACCGATTTGACCGAGCCACGAACAACTTATCTTCCATTTTTATATTTCACATTCCCACATCCACTTTACCGTTGTCTTGTGTTACGCTGCGTTGCTTCTGCTGCTACTTTGCCCGTTTGCTGTTCTCTGCTCTGCTCTGCTCTTCTTTTCTTTTACCCCATCTGCATGCAGTACGCATTCATCGTTTGATCAGCGCTCTGAGTCCAATTCCCTCCCAACATCCCCCAACAGTACTACCTTTCAAAGTACACTGACATCTACATCTAATCTACATCGACCCCCTACCACATCGATATCCATATCTGCTACAATTACATCTACGTTTTTACATCACATCCACATCCACCTCCCCTCAACATGGGAGGTAACGCCTTCCTCACCCACTCCCCTCCCCTCCGTACCCCCCGCATGCCCTTCGCCATCTACCGCCTCATCCTCGAGAACGCCCTCGCCATCCTCCGTCAAAACTTCACCCGCGTAGCCGCGCCCCTCGAAGCCCCCTCAAAGCCCGACTACGGCGACGTCGACATCCTGGTCTCCTCTCCTCTCTCACCAGCTCGCAACCCGTCGGTGAAGCCAAAGGCCGAGGTCGCGGAGCTGATTGCGCGGGATCTGGGGGCCAGGGCCTGGATTCCCGGTCAGAGGAGTCAGGAGATGAATTTTGCGGTGCCGTGGCCGAGGTCAGACGATGGCGAGGAAGGCGAGGATGCGGCAGGCGGTGGGGAGGAGAGGTATGTTCAGCTTGATCTTCATGTTTTGGAGAGTGAGAAGGAGTTCAAGGTAAGCAGTGCAAGACAGATCGCTCTGTCACTAATTTCTGATGGTTCCCAGAGGATTGGGAACCTCTCTCTCTGGGACTCTATGGAATGCCTGGTTGCTGTTATTGACTCCTCTAGTGGCATCTCTTCCGCGCTGCTCATGGGGATCTGTGGAATATCCTCGGCAGCACTATTCGTAGGTTTGGGTTGACTGTTAATGACAAGGGTATGTTTCTGCGGATTCCGTCTATTGAGGCCTTTGATCGGAAGAAGGCCCTCGTCTACTTGACGGATGACTCGGATGCTATTCTAGATTTCTTGGGACTAGAGAGTGCGAGGTGGTGGAAGCAGTTTGGGAGTATCGAAGAGATGTTTGAGTACGCAGCCGGCTGCCGCCTCTTCCGGGTCAAACCTGAGAAGGAAGAGGGTGAGTTGGAGGGTGATGTGATGCTTGATGAAGGTAGACAGGAGGGAGGGGAAGCTGGCAAGAAGAAACTCAAGCACAATGACCGCCAGCGCATGTCCAAACGTCCTATTTTTGCAATGTGGATGGAAGAGTTCATCCCAAAATGCCGAGCGGAAGGTCGTTTCCTCGAGATGAAGACGACCCGCGAGCAGATCCAACAGGAAGCTCTCCAGACCTTCGGCGGCAGAGAGGAATTTGAAAAGAGAGAAAGGGAGTGGAAGCTAGAGAAGCACAAAGACCAGATGTGGAGGACCGTCATCAAAGGGACAGTACCTCAAGACCTGGACCCCGTCGTTCGAGGTGCTACATGCCGATACTTCAAGGGCATCTTGATGGACGGAGATATCCTCTGGCACGGCGAGGTACCGAAGGCAGCCGAGCGCAACGAAGACGGGTTCTGGGACTTGGGGGCTGTGCAGGCGTTCGTGGAGAGCAACATCGAGGAAGCGCAACGGCTGGGCATGGAGTGGCAGCAGGCAAGGGCGATGGCGAGTATGAGGGCCAAGGCGGAGAAGAAGGCGATAGCGATGGCGGAGGCCAACCACGAAAGGCCGCCTGAGGACGCGATGGTACCGATATGAGGTTATGGTTTGTGGGCACAACTCATCATTGTACTGCAACAACTGAATCTCTTCCCGAATCATGCTCACTCTATAATTTTCCGGGCTTTGGATCAGGTTGGGTAATTCATCGCTACTTTTACTCTTGGTGAAATAATCCTGACTGTGAGGTTCGTCGTTGAGAGATTTTTTCATTGCAGGGTCGGAGAGGACTGGCTCCGTGACGACGACGGCGGCGACGACGACAAGAAGATCCCGAGGAAGTCAAAATGCTGATATACTTCCCAGTATCGAGGAAAGGATCCCTTGAGGAATTTAATGTGCTTATTTAGAGCCTATCTACCTGTCTATCTGTCTATCTGTCCCTTGATTAAGTAAGAAGACCACCCATATTATATCATCGATCAGTCAGTCTAAGTAAAGTAAATGAAGTACGATAGATATCATATCGACACCGATCGATATAATGACGTTGACCCAAAACCACGAGAATAACAACAACAACAACAACAACAATAGCAACAACAGAGAGTCGTAAAAGCATTGAGTCTTGGAAGATCAATCAATCAATCAATCACTCAATCAGGGCCATACTTTACCTCCCTCCCCTTCTCCCTCTCCCGCTCGCAGAGAAAAGAATATAAGAAATCACTTCCTGTGGCGAGGTGGTGAAATGGGAGTTGGATCTGGGGTTGATTCTGGTTGATTGGTGTGTCTCGATTCGTGTGGGATGCTGTAGGTGATGGGATGGGATAGGATGGGATGGGATGGACTTATTGACCGAACTAAACGTTAGAAATGTTAACCCCCGGCCGGATCCAGGGGGGGAGCGGAACGGTAGATTTGATTCGATCTAATCTTGATCGTGAAGGAAGATGCAGGCGGGCAGGCAGGTGGGCGTTTTTTTAGGGGGGAGGAGGGGGGGATAGGGAAGAGTTGTTGTGAAAGAAAGAAATTCTTGGAATTCTTGTTTGTGCTTGTGCTTGTGGAAGATGTGTGTGTGTGAGAGAGAGAGAGAGAGAGAGAGAGAGAGAGAAAGAGAGAGGAATGAATGAATGAATAGGCTGGGTGAGAATGAAATGGGTAAATGGGTGGATGGGTGGATGGGTTGGGAATTGGGGGATTAGGGGATTGGGTGATTGGTTTAAAATCTTCTTGAAGTCAAAAGGGTTTTGGGGTGAGGGAGAAGGAATATGAGGGGCTTGAAGGAGGAGGAGAAGAAGAAGCAGAAGAAGAACTGGAGATCAAGTAATGGTGAGATAGCATAGATGCTGCCAAAGGAAAACGCGGTGAAAGGCTTGAAGGAAGGGTATAGCATGAGCTGTGGTAGAGTGCACTTGCAACAGTTCGGATAGACAGTTGGTGGCACTGAAATCTTGCTCTCGCCCATCTCATGGACTGCTCTTCCACTTTTTGCCGGCCCGGGGCGCTTCCCGGGAAAAGGAACGTAGAATGAAAGCCGTGTAGAGTACTCCAACTTAGAGCCATAGTCACAGGCTCATATCCTTCAAATCGGATTGGGTAAGGGTATCGAGGTCTCGCTTGAGCAACTGAAGAGAATGGAGAAGCTCCATCAATTCAGTGGCCTTAAAGTCAATGGTCCCGCCCCGATATGATGTTGCATACGGCGCACGCCTCCAAAACCCACAAGACAGACAGACATCCGCACCATGTATGTAAGTTGTAGAAGTATCGTTTGTTGACTTCCTGCAAAGTCCATGCATCCCAGTACCGGCCCGACCGTAGTCGCCGGTCATAACCAAGCAACGCCAGTTACCCACGCTCTCTCCTCTGCGATCCCCATAAATCGTGTTTCTCGTGCTCCGGCCGTTTACTTCTTCCCACTCTTCTTGATACCCTGGGCTCCGGTGTTGAGAGGTCCTTTGCTCCCCTTGGCTTGTGCGGCCATCGCAGCCTTAGCCTTCGCATCTGGTGGATTTGTTAGCAGCGACCGCGTAGAAAGACGGTAATTATCCAACTAACCAGCCTTTTGCTTCTCGGCAAAGGCCCTGTCTTCCTCGTCCATTTCGCCCTTGGGTGCCTTCTTCGGAGCCTTCAAAGGCTTAGCCTTGCCACCTGGAGAAAATTATTAATACCGCCACTCGCGGAGAAGAGGTATCTCTGCATACCAGCTCGGTCGGCTCCTCCCATGTTTGAGGGATTTGATTTGAAGTTGTTTTTGTATTTATATTTGTGTTCGTATTCGTAGCTAGTGGGGGCGTCAAATGTCAAGATGGAGGGAAGATTTGGTGGGCTCTTGGAGGGGCAGCAACTGAGACTTTCAGCAGAGCCTCAAGCGGCGCTAGTGATTGAACATCAATAGCTCCCTCGGCATCGACTCCCCACAACACATCTCCTTCCTTCTCAACAGCCACAACAACACCAACCGACAGCAATAGCGATCTCTTCAGCATTTCTGCAACACAATGCGCTGAGACAGAAGACGCGCGAGACGATAGACTCCCGGTTGGGCCTTCTCACACCGAGATAAATCTGTTCTGAGCCCTGCTAACACAACTGTTCGACCACAAGGCAGGGATCTATTGTTTGGTACTGCAAGCAAGATGGTATCCGCAGCGAGCTCGGACGCGGGGGAGATTCAAGACGCGGGTGTAGAGAAGGCAACTAAATCGCTGCTGCAGTACGATGGCACCTCCATTGACCGTCGAGACAGAAACCGTTCTAGCCCGACTTCACGGTCGCCCGAGCAGGAGTACCGATCAAGGGACAGAAGATCGCGCGACCGGAGCAGGTCCCCGTATTCAGAGTACCATCCTCGAGGATCGAAGAGACCCAGAGAGCACGATTACCCAGACAGATCTCGAGACCCCCGCAGATTCAAAGTTCACTACGAGAACGCCTACGAAGACTACAAGCGCTACTCTAGAGGCTCTTACAAGGACTTGGACCGAGGCTTTGTTGAGCCGGCAGCCTTGAGGTATGACGAGGCAGAGAGGCATGTTGAAGAACGCCGTCGGACACGCAGCCGCTCGCCATATCGGGCAGGCCAGGGGGGCGATAGATATGGCCGTGGTGGGCATTCAAGAAGGGAAGACACCGGTGGCAATGTACATGGAATTGATTCTCGCAGACCGAACTCTTATGGTAAAAGGGACATGAGAAGTAGCGAGACGAAGGACCAGTCAGTGAGCAAACGGGGACAAAGCCCGCTGCCTGCTGATAATGCAAGACAAGAGGCTAAAACTACAAAAGGGTACTCACAGCATGGTTATCAATCTCGTACTGGCGTCAAGAACGAAGTGTATGTAATTCCGGTCAAATCTGAGGGTATATGCTGATTTTATACAGTGAACCCAAACCTGTTGAAACACCTCCTGTCGAAGTGCAAGAGGAGGAGCCGGTTGACGAAGAAGCTCTGATCGAGCAAAGACGCAAGCGTCGTGAAGCAATCAAAGCTAAGTATAGAGGTTCTGCTACACCTTTACTTGTCCAAGCTTTAGAAGGGGGAGGAAATAAGTCAGAGAACTCTATACCCGATCGGCAAGACGATAACACTCCCATGGCCTCTGCTCCCTTGACTCCTGTCGAAGCCGCATCTCCTTCCGCTTTCGAGATCACAAACGACCAGGACCTCGCGAATGGCAAGGCGCGTGGCGACGACAACGATGGCCCATCAGCTGCTGACTACGATCCGACGATGGACATGCAAGAAGACAAGCAGAGAGATGACCAGAGACACGGTGATGATTCTTCGGCTTCAGCATATAAAGAAACACGCCCTACGACAGAGCAAGATGTTTTGCTTCCAGTTGAACCAGCGCCCGTTGAGGACAAGCCAAAGAAATCAAAGGACGACTTCGATATGTTCGCTGATGACGATGACGATATGTTCGCGGAGGATGAACCCAGCACAAAGCCCGCCGCAGCTGCAGTGGATGTTGCGAAGGTTAAGCCAATCCCACAAGCTAAGGAACTCGATATCGGGATGCTGGACAATTGGGATGACATCGAAGGCTATTACAAAGTGATCCTAGGAGAGCTGCTGAATGGTCGTTACCACGTCCAAGCCAGTCTAGGCAAAGGTATGTTCTCAGGGGTTGTTCGCGCTACAGATGTGACGACGAAGAAGCTGGTTGCCATCAAACTCATTCGGAATAATGAGACTATGTAGGCCTCCCCTAGTACTGTTTAGATGCGACTCATTAACCATTTGCAGGAGGAAAGCCGGCATGAAAGAGATTGAAATTCTTCAGAAAATCAACAACGCCGATCCAGAGGACAAGAAGCATATGATTCGATTGGAGCGATATTTCGAACACAAGGGCCATTTGTGTATGGTTTTTGAAAACCTCAGTATCAATCTTCGTGAAGTTCTAAAGAAGTTCGGGCGAGATGTCGGTATCAACCTGCGGGCTGTTCGGGCTTACGCTCAGCAGATGTTCCTGGGGCTGAGTCTGATGCGAAAGTGCAATATCCTCCATGCCGATTTGAAACCTGACAACATTCTGGTAAGCACAAACTAAGCACAAACTCGGGTCGCAAAGCCACTATTGCTAAATCTAATTAGGTCAATGAGACTCGGAACATGCTCAAGATCTGCGATTTAGGATCTGCTTCTGATGCCTCCGACAATGAGATCGCTCCTTATCTGGTCAGTCGATTCTACCGGGCGCCCGAGATCATCCTCGGCATGGACTACGACTTTGCCATCGATATCTGGTCTGTTGGTTGCACACTGTACGAGTTGTATACTGGCAAAATTCTCTTCACGGGTCGCACAAACAACCAAATGCTTCGGTCAATCATGGATTGCCGGGGCAAATTCACCACCAAGATGCTGAAGCGTTCTCAATTTGCCTACATACACTTCGATGAAATGGCCAACTTTAGAAGCGTGGAGCAAGACAAGCTCAGTGGAAAAGTATGTCTATTCCCATTCCTCCTGTCTTGTTGGGTGTCAGCAGGTGCCTGGCGTCCGCGCCACATATGCAACATGTGGAAGTCTGTATTCGCAACCGTCATACGCGTCAACCGACTACATTATCACATGTTCTTCCATCATCATTCCCAGAATATATGACAACTCGCTAACAACCGGTATCTGTAGGACACGGTTAAGACCATCACGTTCGTCAAGCCAAGCCGCGATCTGCGAACCCGCCTCATGTCCGCATCTAAGGGCCTCACGGATGTAGAAACTAAAGAACTAGCTCTGTTCGTCGACCTCCTCGATCGCTGTCTGGCGCTTAACCCGGAGAAGAGAATTACCCCTGCTGAGGCTTTGAGACACCCGTTCATTCTCAAGACGACGAAATGAGATGTGTGGGGCTGGTGCTAGGGAAAGGCCGGGATAGCGGAGGATAAGAGTATGTGAATGTGTGCTACATTGGGTGGTTGCAATGGCCATACAAGAGGGTCACAGGCAGAAATAGCATTCATTTTCATGCCAAAGCCCGGATCCTACTTAACTGGGGAGGCTGGGATCCAAATACAAGAATCAGCGGAATCAATGTATACTTGGCATTCCGGGCGTTGATGTTCCTTCATAGCTTTGTGATCTGGGAAATACTTGGTACTCACATGGTACACGGCCATCACCCATCCCCTTTTCACTTTACATCCTCTTCTTGCGCGTGTGGACAGAGCTTTTGTTGCACGTCTTACTTTTCAGTTGGTTCTTGATTGTATTTTTAATTCCTCCTATAATCAGACTCGTGGGAATGTAGGTAGGCACCAGGCTTCAAGGTCACGTAGCTTGCATTAGTTACGGCGGCCTTGGCGTAGCCTTCCCCCACTTAGAATACCTAGCTTCCTCTCTTTAGACTTGACAACCACGAATAACTACTACAGAAGATTGTTCATGCTATGGTCTCAACCGGTGTGCACAATACAGCTATGTGATACTAATAGGACTAAACTTGCTAGGAAGATCTAAATCAGTCACTTGCGGGTACTTTCGAAATCTAATGCTAATTATCTACTAATAAGGGCTTGGATTGGACTAGGTACCTGTTGCTGATCAGTCCGCATCCGTAGACAAGTCAGAAACTTGCTAGTATAGCATTTCTTTTACTAGCAAGAGAGAACTACGAGTGTTGGGAAAGTGTGTTCTCTTTTACTAGTAGATGAAAAAAGGCTCCTCCTTCCTCCATGCAGTGTAGTGAGCCTTTTTTTTACCCACCTACTACGCACGCGGGCACGAGATCATGAGTCATTATTTTATCTCGCCCTCATTATCCATAAAGTGATGCCACTAGGTGCACCCTCTGTATTCTACGGATACTCGTCTCCTAGTGGAATTCGAGAAGGTGAGGCTCGAAGCGCTTGCGTTACCTGGGTACTCGAAGAAGAGTCTACGTAGCTGTCTTAGTCCCGGCCTAGCTATTTCTAGAAACGAAAAACACTCCTGTTCTTCTAAGGACGTGTTCATAGATCCTGATGCACATTGCGATTCTTGCGGTCTTGTGCTAGAGCTACCTAGCTTCATTTGAGAAAGCTTTCTCGTCCTCTACATAGCGATTTACGACTACTGTAATAAAAAGGGAAGGGGAAGAAAGAGCGAGGTTTTCGGCTGCATGGACAGAGAGAGACCTGTAGTGTGTTTTGAAGAGTACTTCCAACATTCATAACCGTTTTCTTGAGTCATCCATGGTTGTTTTGCTCCTCCATGATAAATGGCTCCAGCGCTTCTGTCGATGGAAGGACAACAGCGGCGGTGTGAATGTGGGAGGAGCGGTATCACGATCGAATCGTATAGGTCACGGAACAGAAACCCCAGAGAGAAGAGATATATACGAAAAGTAGTATATATGGTCAGTCGGCAAGTGTAATTCAAGTCTCGCAGTCCGGTTCGCAAGCTTCTGGTCACATGTACTCGGTCCTTGGATTGTGCAGAATGAAAAAATAGTAAGAGGAATCCAAAAAGAAAAGTGAAAATGATGTGTGCGGAAGCTTAGCAGGTCGTGTCGTCTACAACGGGTGGATCCATCGTTTGTTACTGCCATGGGAGAAAGCCTTCGGTCCGCAGACCTTCCCGTATGAGTATCTTTTGGCGAGCCTCTGATATCTACTACGTACGAAAAGAGGAAAGGACGCTTCGCCAGTAGAAATAAGTGGGTTTCGTCTCCGAGGACGTCGCTGCTAGGGGGCAAAATTCTCTTAGTTAATAAATAAATGTCACGTAACAGACAATGGCACAGAACAAGTTCTACCAAAGCAACCATGATAATTTCCATTATTATTAAAGATTTGCTCTGGAAGTAGATTGAAATGCCTACCATGAGAGACTTGTATACTGGATCTATGTCTTGCTTGGCATGTAAACAAAGCAAGCGAGTGCCATGAGAGAGAAGCATGTGACAGAAGTAAACGGAGGAGCGCAGAGCGGTATTATCTGTTATCTCACCTGCTGTTCATAAATGACCTTGAGAACCTGAAAGTTGGTAATCCGATATACAAGAGGAAACAATAATTGCCGAGCCTTACACACGTGACTGATGAGTTTTTTCCAGAGTCCAGAACCTCGTCACCTCAGCTTCCCCAAGCCTTTAACATCAACGCATTCACTCGCACCATCCGTCCAGCTCCGGAACCCTTCGGCGTCAGTCCATATTCCCGAAACAGTCTATGAATTGACAGCAAACCCCAGCTCTCGCCGAATTTTAGGGATGTGAGTGAAATCTCGCCAGATTGGCCGGGGAGATGATCATGAGACGGGCTATCTGTCAGCCCACAAAATCATTGAGTTGTAGGGATCGGGACGCTTGATCAGACGTCAATTCTTTAAAAGCTCACGCAGAAGCGACGCGTCATCGTACAATGCGACAGCGACTCGATCAGAAACGCCGAACTGAAATGCTTCAAACCCTTCCTCGGAGGGTGGCTGGGTTACGGTAAGCATGGTTGATGCTGCTCTGACGGAAGACCTCTTGGTATCACCCGAAACGCTCAGATCAGGTGTTGGACCGTTTGCTAAGCAGCGGCACAAGGCTTGAAAAAGACCAAGTTTGATGTCGCCACGCCAGAGTCGAGCCAGTCAGCCCTCAAGGCGGGGGATAACGACGGCTGGTATCAATAGGCTGAGTCAGGTCGACAGCGCCGACCCCGGCATTTGTATCGCACGCTCGATGGCTGTTTTGACCGTCAAGATCTCCAGTCCCAGCAGAGAAAGTACCACCAGCGACTCGTCATGGGCCTCCCGAGAATCTCACCCGACCCGGTACTTGGTCACGGATGATATACAACCCAGCCACGAAGCCATACGCTTTGGTAGTCGTATAACTATTATGCACCACAGACACTCCATGGCCCGATCCCGAGAAATTTACGTCTTTGCGAGCACGCACAGATGATACCTATGACTTCAGCGGCTTTCAGCTAGCCGGGACTTATGTTCCTGGAAAAACTTTTCTTCCTTTCTAAACTCGCACTCGGCAATGAAGATGGCTGAACGACAGGCGGTGTGACCAGCGGGGGAGCGGATGCTGACGTTGACTGACTTCGGCTGATGGTGTGTGCTTGCGCAATGCGGAGTGAAAGTCAGGTCTGGGTTGGGAGGCAGGACCGGACTGCGTGCATACAGCGAAGGTTGGATCTGAATGAGAATAGGGAGGTGACGACGGCGAAGTGCAGCATCGGAAGGCGAGTCTCCGAGTGGCTGACTTGAAGAAGTTTCATAGCGCATGATTGGCTTTGCAGTTGACGATACAGCTGATATGAAGAATTTAAGAGTTCAGTATGTTTCCTAGACTCGGGACAAGGGTGTGACGAGATGCAGAATATACGTAGTACGTAGTAAAATGTGATAGTGGATAGTTGAAAACTATCTGGAACTACTTTCGATAATGATCTGAATCTACTACTATCCTCGAAGTTCTAGACTCAACATTGACATTTTATTAGCTACCTCCTGACTCGCACATCTTGGCTAAGATGGGCACAGCATTATTTTAAAGATGTGGGTATCGCTTTAGATGCGACTTACGAACTCTCCCGATGAACTTTCTCGGCGCAATACCAATTCTCAACGCTCGGCTACTACTTGGGTGGCCGGCCCCCTTCCCCTCCATAGCAACGACCTGTGCCCCAAGATTGGGCAATAAATAAATACTATTGCATCAATTCTTTTCTGGCTTGATGTTAGATAAAATCATGTGCAAAGCTGACCGTCGGCTCGAGAAGCTCGGATCATAGTTCAGTGAGACTGTAGTGAAGCTCTAATCTCAAGATTACGTGAATTAGTGAGTAGCCTTAACTGCTATACTCACGAACATTCAACAGCTTTATAGCAATGGAGGGATTTCGGAGCTGAGTTAACCCAGTGTGCGCAGCAATTGATCTGACCATCAAATTTGCTGACTACATTTAATCGCGCAAATAAATGGGTTTCGGAGGCTGAGTTATAGTGCTGAGTTATCTTAACCAAATATACATAGTACAGTAACGTAGACAAATTTAGCGTACGGGGAGTTAGTCAAGAGAGTCACCGCCTTTGGAAGGAGCGAGTCCGGCTAGGGTAAGTGTATCTCATCGAGCCCCCACCACTCACCTACTACGTATTTACTACGGGCTAAATTGTAGTACGGCTGCATTGCTGATACAAACACTATCGCTCTAAAATGTTCCGTCGCATTCCATAACCCTAGAAGTGACTTTCGGACCGGGTCTGTTGGATAGGTACGAGTTTAGCTCCCGTGACTCGCTCGCCAGTAGCTCACTCGCTTACTCAATCTTGACCTCGTTCAGAGTTTTTTATTTTAGAAAGCTCCGGGGTAAATATATAAGCGAGTCAACAGCGACTACCACCGAGGCAATCAGTAGTCAGTGACCAACGCACCTCTCAACAGTACCTACTCAGTGGGCAGTCCGTGAACCAACCCACTACAAGAGTACATGGACGGGTTGGTTGGTCCATCGGCTCCACCGCTCCCGGATTAAATCATATCGCTTTAAATAGAACGGGTACTCATATCCATATTTACATTTCCAGTCTCTTTCTACGCTTTTGCGTCCTGAGTCGCGACTTGGGAATGAATCAGCTAGCTTTTAAGTCTAGGTTTTTTCCTTAAGATCTACGAAGTAGAGACTATCGGTACCTACGGAAATTACCACCTGCTTTCTCTTTCCCATGAAGAGACCGCACTGCACTGCACTGCACGCATACGCAATCCCCGATCCCGCGCTAAGTACGTAGTATGAATCATGATGCATGTACGCAATCCTCCTTATCCATCTACCCATCCACCCAGCCAGCCACTCACGCAACCCACCCACCTCTGTCGCTCCAAGCAAGCGGCCCGGTCGCGAAAGGTTTTCCTCTCCTGCACCCTTGGCGGAGAGAGAAATCAGCAGTGCAATACCTATCCCGCAGTACGCTCTATCACTGTACCACACGGTAGTGAATGACCGGCCTCCTTTTCTTTGGTGCCAGTGCAGGTACGCTTATCTCCGTTCTCCGTTCCCCGTCCTCCGTTCCCAACCCCAACCCCAACCCCATCCCCATCTGCCGCGCGCCAGCGTAGTACTGCATATGCATATGCATATGCAATATGCAATATGCATATGCAAGTGCCCGCCTCCTTCCCCCACGCACGCACGCACGCGCTACTTAGAGTAAGCAAGGAAGCAGAAGTAAGCCAGCCCGCTAAGGCTAATCATCCTGGTCAAATATTTTACAGTAGGAGAGAAGAGAAAGAATGGAGGGAAGCAGAGCTCGCAGCTAAAAATGGTCTAGTTCCGTCGAGACATGCGAAGTATCTCGTTACGTTTTACCATCGGTGACCTATCTATCTCTATCTGTTTCTTTCTATGTTACTTTACATTACCGGGCTCGACGAACCAAAGGCGGAAAGAAGTTTGAGTGAGCCGGTTTGAGAAAGAAAAAAAAAAAAAAGCCACAGGTCGTTTGAATAGCAATGTGTCTTGGCCGATCAATCAGGGCATGCCTTACTTGTATCGTACTGCGTAAATCACCTACATACTCCGTCCACATGTGTTGATCCAGTAGTCCGCAGTTAGCCTCCCTCCCTCCGCAGCCCGCTCCGAATCCTGGCTGGACTTGATCGGCCGGGAGGCTGTTTTGCTTATTCGTTCCCACTACGCCCCCTTCTCACTGCAGCTCTACAGTACAGAGCAGTGCCGGTACTCTCTCTGTGCGGAGAAGGAGAAGAAGAAGAAGTAAACACCTCATCACGTTCACATCCACCACCACGTTCCTCACTCCACCCACGCTAGCAGAGTAGCTAGGTAGCTAGCTGTACGGAGCTCCATCCATCATCCAAACCAAACCTCATCCATCAAACCTTATCGATACCATACCATGCCATACCATACCATAACAAAACCCAAACCAAACCAGCCTTGCCTTTCACAAGGATACCCTCTCTTCCCTCTTCCCCTCGAAACCCTCTCCCCTTCGAAACTTTACAAAAAAAAAAAAAAAAAAAGTGAAAAAAGGTGAAAAAGGAGGAGGATCAAACTTCATTCTTCCCCCTCCCCAACTCCACGCATAGAATCCAGACTAGAGCAAATCTCGCCGGGGTTCACTGCAATGCAATGCAAATGCAACGCAGCCAAAACAAACACTAGACTACCATACTACTACTACAGTAGTACGCAGTCTCTCCGCCAAAGGCAAAAGTGAGGCGAGCAAAGAGACGAAGGAAGGAGCGAGGCTGGAATGGATTAGTGAGCGGGGAAAAATAAGGGGAAAAAAGGAAAAAAAAAAAGGCAAAAAAAAAAGGAAAAGAAAAAAAGGAAAAAAAAAAAGGAAAAAAAAAAGGAAAAAAAAAGGAAAAAAAAAAAAGCCGCCCAATCGTAGGGATTGGTTCTCGAGACAAGACGTGTGCACCGTCCACCCCGTCCGCCCGTCCGCCCATCCGCCCATCCGCCCGTCCGCCCGCCCGTCCCGATCGTCCGTTCGCCCTGTTTTTTTTTCCCTCTGTGTCTTCCGCCTTGTGGTTTAGAGTTGGGGGATTGGGTGGATGCGGATGCGGATGCGGAGGTTGGGTCGGTGGGTGGGATGGATGGATGGATGGATGTGTATGTAGTAGTACTATACCTAGGTACTGTAAGTACTACTAGCTGGGTGGAGAATTTTCCTTTTTTTAAAAAAAAAACAAAAAAAAAAACTTCTTTTCTTTTTTCTTTCGTCTTTTTCCTTCCCGGCTGCTGCTGCTGCAGCATTGCGGACTGTGCCGCGCCCGCGTGTCTACCAAGTAATACTAATACAGTATGATAACGCTGTAAACGAACAAAACATTTTTCCCTTTATCTTGTGTTTTTCTCTCTCTTTTTTTCCGCTTATCCCCCCAATTGAGTTTGATTGCTCCGTACTTCTCTGTTCCTGTATGGAGGATGGTTTGGTTAAGGAAGACTGCCTGCCTGCCTGCTTGCTTGCTTTACCGATAGAGTATAGAAGAGTAAGGTAGGTAGGTAGGTAGAGCCCGCGGGTCAACAAAGGCAGCGAGCGGCGCACTGACTGTTCCCATTCCCATCTTAGGTACTCCGGATATTACAACCGGGGCAGGCAAGGCAGCAAAAGGCAAAGGAGAAGGAGCGCGGCGGCGGATGGAGCCGCGGATCTAGCGGTTATTAAATAATAGGATTGCCGTGCGCATGTGTGTGTTTGATTACCTTTCATTAGATAGTAGTAGGTAGTATCTTAAAAAATTCAAAATTTTGAATTTTAATTTGAATTGGATTTGAATGGAATTTGGATTTGGTTTTGAATTTGGATGGAATTTGGTTTTGGATTCGGATTTAGACTCCAATTGTTTATAGTTTTCTGCTGCAGAGGAGGGAGTACGGAGGAGCAGGGCAGGAGGAGGAAGATGGAGAGTCTCGCCTCGCCTCGCCGATGGCAATTTCGTACAGGGGTACTGTTGTGTGTAGTATACGACAGAGGGGGGATCAGGAACTGAGTAGAACTGAGTACAGCGGAACTGGAAAGAGAGAAGAGGTAAGCGAAGAGGGAGTTCGCCGTGGCGTGGAGGTTGTGGTTTTACTTACTTTTTATTGTACATGTGAAAGCATTTATGGTGCCTGCTTTGCTTTGCTATGCTGTGCTGGATTGTTTTCTTTGGATATTTTTTTTTCTTTATGGCTGTCTAGCTGGCTGGATATCTACCAATACGCACACACACATACACACACACACACATGCACACACGTATACATATATATATACATACATATACATGACAGTCATCTCTCCTCTCTCCTCACGGACAGTGGCAAGATACACACACATAAGAGAATTCCATCGCATCACGTCACCATTCAGAGTAAACAGGGATATGTATATATAGACGTATATCTCTTTCGTTGCGCCCACACACATCTATACATATATCTATCCACATATCTATGTATAAAGAAAACGCGATAAATATTTGACCAAGAAGGTAAAAAAGAAAAGGAGATCTATATCCCATATCTCTTCTCAATCAATCACGCTAATATATGTAAGAGAGAAGGTATAAAGTAAAATGCTCAGATATCCTTTCCCATTCCCTTTCCTTTTCCCACGCGCCGCCATCGCCCTGCCCAGAAAGGTGAAAAGAATGAAGAAAGAGAAAAAAAAAACCGCTGAAATTGCCACCCAGAGCGTACCAGCTCGTCCCAGTAAAAAAACGCCTTCTCCTTCTCCCGAAATGTAGAAGGAAAGGATAGAGCCTCCCGGAAAATAAGGAAGCGAAGCGCCTAGTTTATGTGGTAGAAGGTGGAGAACATCGGAAATTAGAAATAAGCGGGTTTTTCTTGGAGTTGATTCGCGCCCCTTCCCCCCTCCCCCTATCCCCCGGCGGCAATCCCGTTCCCCGTCCAGTGGTGCTTGCTTTTCCCGCCCGGTGCGGAGGGCGGGAGAAAGCAGCGAATAGAATAAAGTTTAGAGGTGAGGTGAGGTGTGATGTGAGGTGTGTACAGGAGGATTATATCGGCATGAAGTCGTTATGGTGGTAATGAGGATTGGGGGTGTCCAAGTTTGCGCCCTTTTGGTTTTGCTGTTTTGTATGTGTCGGCCGTCCACGGCGCGAAAAGGGTCATCGTGCTCTTTTTTGATGGTATGGGTTTGCAGGTGAAGAAGAGCGTGGGTATCCATGAAGAGGTCGTAACACATTTTTTCCCTGAACGGATATGGCTGGCAATTGCTTACACAACGAAGGTAGGTGGTGTACCTTCGTCGTCAAGAAGCCTGTCTGTCCGAGAGAGGGGAGGGGAGGGGACGTGGGTCCAAGTTTATCTAAGAGGAAGAAGAGGAGAAAGATCCAGTGTCCTGTTTTACCACTGGAGAAAAGTCCGGGAGAAGGGGGGTTTGATCCCGTCCCGAGCGGATGCTGAGGGTACGGACTGACAGCACTTGGGACGAGGCGAGAGAAGGTGAGGTGGGATTCCTCGCATCACGCGCCGCCCGGTACTCACCAGCCATGGAAAGGGCCCATGTACTGCTGGTGTTGGGCCTGAGGGGAGTAGATGGCTGCTTGGGGGTACCCAGCAGGCGCTGAGTGGACGTGTTCGAACTGGTGCTCGTAAGGATGGCCCCACTGCGGCGACGGCATCCACGGGCTGGGCTTTGACACGGCGGGCGATGCTCCCCACGAATTTACAGGGCATTCCTGGGTAGGAAGAACGTAGGCCGGTATGAAGGGCGCCGGAGGAGCGGGTCGTTGAGCATAATGGGGCGCGTTAGTGGCGGCTCGGTCGTTCGCAGGAACCAAACTCAATTGCGTGTGTTGGGCTTTAGGCTCAGGCGGGAATTCGGGTGGGGAGTCGTAGTCAGAGTCGTCGGGGTCGGAGAGCGAGGTGCAGGAGCTGGTGAGGGAGCCAGAATCCGAGAAGACGGATCCATCGTCGGACAACGATTCATGCTCATCAGCAGCAACCGACCAGGGAGATGAAGGGGGTGAGGGAGCAAAGAGTTGTTGGGGTGGCGACGAGAAAGATGGGCATTCGATGATCCGGCGCTTGAGTTCGCTGACTGTGATCCTGTCCTTTGGATTGCGCTCAAAGATCATTCCCAAGATCTCGTTCAACTCATCCGAGAGAGGAAGGATGGTCTTCAGGAACTTACGGTCCCGGGTGAAAGCCTTGTATGTGGCATCCTCAGTGGATGCTTGCTTCCATGGATTGCGGCCGCATATCAGGTTGACGAGGATTACACCCAGGGACCAGATGTCGTTGGGCGCGCATCGGTATGATGCGTGCCGCGAAGATTGGTCCAGACATTCTGAGGAAAAGAGTCGTTAGAAACGTGAAGGGGGATCTGGGGGAGAGGGCGAAAGGGCCTACCTGGACTCATATAGAAGGTTGATCCGCAGCCATGGTCATCGGATAAGGGATCCGTGGTCGCGAGACCGAAATCTGCGAGCAAGACCTGGCCTCCGGAGTGGGATACCAAAATGTTCTCCGGCTTGAGGTCCCGGTGGTAGATTCCCAGACGGTGGCAGTGTTCCACGGCATTCAGGATTTGAATGAAGGCTTGACGGATAAGTCCATCGTTGCCGACGTACCTACCCCGTTCGGTGATGTTTGAGAAAAGATCTCCCTCGGGGCAGTATTCCAGGACCACATAGGTGCACGCGGGATCATCCACAATCTTCAACATGGACACTACGTTAGGGTGCGCCGAAGCTGCATAGTGCAGTTGGATCTCCCTGTATTGAAATTCTCGTTGTCTCCGGTCCAAAGGCTCTCCATTGGGATTGAATTTGCTCAGCGCTTTAACCGCATACCATGTCTGGGTAGAGTGATCGATCGCAGAATATACAACTCCATAGGCGCCCGTCCCCAATATCCCTTTCAACTCCAGAGACCGTCCGAGGAAGATACCTAATCGCGACTCCGGTGTGGGAGGAATCCTTAAGGCTTGTTGATGGACCTGCGGCGGTGGCGTGGATGGGGGGGTGTGCAGACCATAGGTAATATGCATGGCAAGAATGAAAACCGACGGTCGAAATCCTGTGGAAGATGGATCCTATGTATCTATCTGGTCCAACAGAAAAGAAAGTATGGCCCCCGAGTGATGGATGTTATAAGAGAGTCTCCCTGATTGTGGCCTGATCTAGTCGTGAATACGTAACTGGAACGGCCGTGAGGTTGATATAGAAAAGTGTTGGAGAGACTCGTAGAGAGTAAAGGTGATGATGGAGAGTCGTGAAGGAGGAAAGTCGTAAGGGCGAGGCAAAGACGGTAGTGGTGTTGGGACGCTGTGGTCGTTGGTGATCATCAAGATAGACGCTTGACAAGGCGGGGGGTGCTTGGGACTAATACTTCTGATATATGACGAGGCTGCACCGGTCCAGTCTCGTCTAAATGCAGTAGCAGAATATTGACTGAGGGATGTGGATTCCCGCTATTGCCTGCTATGCCTGCTATGCTTGCTATGCCTGCTATGCCTGCTGCTATGCTTGCTACGTCTGCTTGCCTGACACCTGTTTAGCGTTGACCATGGATGAGGGAGGGATTCTTTGTCTTAGGTTCCAATCTAACGAATCAACAGCCCCAAAGAGCTCGCATTGCAGTGCGTCAATGCCTACCGTAACTGGCTAACCTGGGCTACTCCTTGTAAAGTCAGGGAAAGTCAAGCCTAGGCCAGCCCGATTCTTCACTTCTCGGTCCAGTCACACGCTGCGCAGAAAACCGCAGCTGGCTGGCTGCATGGGCCATCCCATCCATCACTACACTTTACTCGGCACTGGGCACTGGGGCACTGGGGCACTGGGCAGGGCGAACGGGCGGGCGTGAAGGTTCAAGTCAGCACGGCTCTCGATAATCCAATAATCCGCCCTAGCGCAAAGACTGCAACTCCCTACCGTATCTTCATCTCAATGTCGAGTGCTGATTCGATGAGGAGTTGCTAACGGTGGATCTGCGTGCCAGTGAGTTGCTACTTTCTCTTCTGATCGATCTGCTGCTCTGTTCGGAGTCCCGAGTCCTGAGTCCTGAGTCCTGAGAGTCCTGACCCAGCCCAAGGCTGTCTGTATCGCATCGCATCGCATTGCATTGCGTTGCGTTACGTTGCGTTACTGTCGCGTTGGTGCTCTTGTACGACCATTGCATTGGTCAAATCCTAGCGAAGCGTAAACATCTGAGACTGGCCAGCCACCACACAGATCAGCCATGAGACCTGAGTGACGCTGACACTGATCTCTTTCGCTTCGCATCCGCATCCTTCCTGGGTGCCTCCGCCTCGTGGGTATGTCGCGGCTTGAGTGGTAAGGTTGATACTTTCTTCTAGAAGTACGTAGTAGATCTTCATACCAACTGTCGCCACTCGGGCCACTCGCTTCCAGTAACATTCCTCTACCCACTCGAGGTGCATCCAAGCTTCTTCTCAGCTGCATCGTGATGTGTCAATTATTCATCCCACGGGCAGGATCGTCGGTGGCCAATCTCCGATCGCATCCTTTCCATAAAGGCCGAAGCCAGCAGCGGGCGCAAGGGGAACTGCTGTACTGTACTGTACTGTACTGTACTGTACTGTACTGTACTGTACGGGAGTGTATAGGCTGAGCACAGTCCGTTGAGTTTTGACAAGTGGACCTAGTGACCTTGTCGCCGCTGCGCCCGAAGCAGGCAACAGCCCTGTCTGCGAAGTATAACCTCGAGTATCTCCAGTCTTTCCACACTCTGTGACCAATCATTGCCAGCCGGCCAGAGTTCCAGACGGCCAGTGAGCCCTGGGAGGAATTCAGCGACCAAGGATATGGGTCCCGTACAAGGCTGGAGGAAATTACTAGTAGTATTTTGGCGTGAACAAGAAAACCGAAAGAAAAAAAGCAAAAATATGTGGTGGGTGCGATAAAGCGCTCATTAACTTACTACTATCTATTGGTCTGATAGTTGTAAGTAACCCGTTGCTCGACCCAATAATTAGCAGAAGGCTACTCCGAATAGCGAACTCACTTGACCACAACGAGACTAGAACATCATATATCACGTCCTTTCGGACTACCAGATACTCCACGAATGGTAATGCAACCACTGCAGCAGCTCAGCAGCTGTACGTACACTCACTCTCTCGTCCAATGAGCCGATACAGAATATATGTTTGGACTCTGACCATTCTCAACCACTTGGACGAGCTCGCTCGCATGATAACACGAAGATCGGCCGGCACGGCTGGGCTGGACGCGGGCTAGAAACTTCTGCGCTCTCCGTACTGTGCCTCCGCCATCATGATTTCTAGGACCTGACATCAAGCCAAACTTCGTTGATATGGTATGGTGTACGGTAGGTACGCGTCACGCCCTGCGTCCCACAGGCAGGTATCCGTCTGTAGGCATCTGTAAGCACCTGGGAACCTCGAATCCTGTTGGTTGCCCGCCTGCCAGCCATCTCACCCACTCCCGAGCTGCTGTTTCCGGCGTTCATAATCTCTCAGCGGAGTACAGGGCAGAGAGTTGGAACGGAAAAGGGCCGGGAGGGAATGAATGGCAGCCTTGACGGCTCCGCCGGCCGGTCAAAACATGATCAACGTGATGGTAGAAAGTAAATCAAACCAAAAAACCAATAGAGCTGTTCCAAGATTCACCCGTAAATGCAGCCCCTGAAACTCACCGCCAGTCTTCGGGCGGGTCAGCTATTCTAGCCGAGCCTGCCTGCCTGCCTGTCAGCATACCAACAGATAAGCAGTCGCCTCGCAATCCCATCCCAGACTCTGTCTGGCTGGGCATCTATCCGCGGCACGTTTCTGCACGGGATACGGCCAATTGTCCAACTGCAAGAAGCAGTACCTTGTACTGTTGCAGTATTGGGTTTTGGTAGGATCGAACAACACTTCTCCGAGATGGAGTTACTTGGAGAACAGCAGCCCGTAGCTGTGTGGAATTGATGCAGGAGTAATAGGAAGGACTGCGACGAAGGCTTTGATTGCTTTCAATGATCACATCGAGGTTCGCTGTGATAGACGGAGCTAGTTGTACAACTAGTAGTGCCCCAGAGTAGCGTCTCACGTGGCTTAAGCGACTGTCAAATCCAACATCAAGGGCTAAAATCGCTTTGTCGAAGAAGACCCTCCCCTCAACCCTAAAGAGCTCCCTCCTGCGAGCTCAAAACAACATGAACAAAAGCGCCTCTTCTGCAGCCATATACACTTCGGAGTAGCCTCGCATCACGCGCCTGCTGGCTACCTGCATCGGATCCCGACAGGTCTTCATGTAATGTCAGACAGACAAAGCCCAGGCGCGTCGGAAAGCAGGCGAGAAATGACAAGTTACAATGTCCCCCATCAAACCCATTAATCGACCGAGATCTTCGTCCGGTTGAGATATGGTGGCTGTACCTCCAAACGCTCTGGTTACTCATGGTCTGATCTTGTACCACTGTACTGGGCCGAAACATCCCTCTTTCCAACCTGGTGTTGCGCCACCACGAACAGCTGGAATATTCCTGTGGCAGAATACATGAGAATTTCGTTCCGGAATTCGCAGTGCGCCGGTACAAATGAACGAAGCATGACTGGAAGCCGCGCTGAGCTCCTCACTGCAGCAGCATGTCCCTGCCTCAAGCATGAAGCAAGCATGAAGCTATATCCAGCATCTTAGTTGGATTCGCGATCTATAGCGCGGCTCGCCTTGCGCCTATCGACCTCCGGAATATGGGATGGACGACCATATGCGGCCGGGTACAATCGTCTCGGAACAAAGGCCGAGCTCACGTCGATCCTGCATCAAGTTGCGGAGACATTTGAGGATGTCGTGACCGGGCTCTTTCAGCGCGGCTGCTTTCCCGATAGTTACGTGAGCGCTTCCTGACCAAGCGGCGGCCGCTTAAGAATTCCTTTCCATTGTCATCAGCAATCTAATATCCCGAGCTGAAACTTGACATCAAGCCTCTATCTCTGTTTCTTTGAACAGGGAGGACTTTGTCCATGCTCAAAACTTTCGGCTGCGAAGAGATTCCGAGAGACTGTGAATTTGCGTTTTTCTGTTTATGCCGCCAAGTATCCCCAGGAAGTCCCTGGTCAGCAGCACCTTCCGAGAAATTTGTTTCATATTGATACGTGTTTGAGGTTTGGACCCTTGATAAACATTGTTTTCAAAGCCATCTTCATCAATCTCATACCTCTACTCAGCGCCCTTGCCGCTCAGCAAATCCGAGCTCGAAGTAAACGCTTTCCACTCTTGAGAAACCCAATTTTGCTCTTGGTTGCTCGTCGTGGAAAGGGGTACGAGCCGTTATCTAAGCGCAGCATCGCATTTTCCTCACCTCCCTCATCTCATATGTCACTCCACATGTTTTAATAACCCACTCCCTCATCAAGATCTCTGGGGATGAAGCCATGAGCTCCACCGGCGTGCAGAAGTAGCTATATATAGATGCTCTCTGGAAGCGGCTGCCACAAGCATATCCTCGTCTCTCGCAAAGCTTATCCATCCTTCAGCGTGCAATTTCTTGCTCTGACACCACTTGAGGCTCGCCATCACCCTTTTCCCGAAGAGTCCAAGAACAGTGCCAGCGCATCGTGCTTATTGCCTCGCGCGAGTGTGCGAGCGCGACTAGGAATTCACTCAGCGTAGATGCCACCACAGCTTCTGCTCATTCAATCTCACACCCTCCTTTTGCTCGCTTGTGTCTCCCTATCATATGTAACTACACAATAAGCCATCGCCTGTTCTGTTCTCACGGTAGATATCATGCCGAGCCATTCATCCCTCGCGTCCTTCCTACCTCTGGAGCTTCCGAACTTCCTTGCGATTAGATCGTCGCCTAGAACGGCAGATGCCAGAAAACGTCTGAGAATCTCCGCGCCAAATGATCCCGTAATCTTGACTTCGAGTCCTCCAGTTTCCGAATCTAGGGCCAGAGACGAGATGTCAGTCTTTGGCGCCCCGGCTTTGACGATGGCTCCGCCTCCGCAATATTACTCCTCGCCTCCGCCGGATTACAAGCCGTCCACACTCAGTATACAGCAATCGCCATTAGGATCGCATCCTATGCCGATTCTGCCACCGCCGCCATCTGACAAACGCCCACCATCACCCGCGCCGTCTGCGCTCTCGCCGCCATCATCACTCCACGACCTGCCAAGATACACGCCTCGAGAATCGATTTCGGCGAGGGATTCGGCAGCCAAGGCTAAACCGCGACCAAGCGCGAACACATGGGCGGCTTGGATCCCGTGGAACTGGTTGTCACCCCCACGGCGGAGCGGGTGTACGATAGCGGGAAGCACGGGACAAGGAAGTCGGGATCAGGTGGACGGTGACAGAGGAATCGAGCTGGATGCGCATGAGCAGCAACAGTACGAGCTTGATCAACAGCCGGTGGCGAGAGAAGATAAGCACAGGGAGAGATATTGGTGCTGTGGGTGCTTCTGATCTGGACCACCCCCGGCTTCCAAGTCAAGTCAAGAGTCAAGCGTATCACATGTTCGGATCAACGAGGTGCGGAAAGAAAACTAGTGAGCCTGGTTTGCGGCATGGCTGAATTGTCGCGGCGTCACCCGCCTGACCTCTAATTGACATGACGATACTGGTACTGGTCAGGATCAGAAGGGTCACTTGTACAAGATTGTATATCTGGTTTTTTCGAGTGGGGGGTTTGTACGATTGTGGTGGACCTCTTCGTGGCTGCTGTAGGACAATAGCGGCTTGTAATTATCGGCTTCGCTTAAGAACGTGAATCGGAGAAGAGAAGCAAGCGCCCATAGAGGGTAGATGGCGAGTGAGTGGTGAGGAAGCTGGCAGATCTGATGTCGCTATCGTATGATTGACATGATACATTTTTGCGATTTTCTAGAATGTATAGAATTCTAATGGTTCGATGCATTTTCTGCCTGGCTGGCCTCCTATTTGCACTGCTTCATTGTACATGTAGACATAGATACATATATAGATATGTAGATACATTGATTAGTCTAGTCCGGTAGAGCTAATCCCCAATCCTCCTTCCGTTCAAAAGCCCTTAACTTTCGCAACCTTATTTGTATGCCACTGCCTTGAACATTCGCAGCAGATCTTCTTTAAATCTTAGGTGTTGGATGAAGTCTGTTTGTATACGCTATACAGGACACCTTGCTTTGAAACATGTCCTTCAATGAATTTCCTAGTCCTTTCATCAATAACGCAGCACTATCTGTCAACCGCGCCGCGCCACGCCATACGTCTTTACCAAGCCAACAACCTAAAGCTATCTATCCCTACTTATTTATATCCTCTCCAATCCCCAATTCCCATAAAGAAAAGCACTTTATATTATAACATAACATGACATAACAGCCACCCACCAAGCTTCCCCCATACCCAACACCCACACTCGCGTCCATCTCTCCATCTTTCTCCCTATCTATCTCACCCCAGCTAACTGCCTCCAGACAGATCCGATTCCATTTAGTATATGTATTAAATATAAAAGCTCTACAAATCTATTGATTCATTTCAGATTCTAGAATATAGATCTAGATCTAGGATAGAACACCCCACCCTCTCAACCCTTCCAAACACCCCTCTCTCCCGCTCTACCACAGCAAATATCCCATCCCATTTCATTCCATTCCAACCCCTCTTTCTTGATCCAGAATCCAGAATCCAGCCCACCCAGGCCGCCCAAGCAAGTCAAGCAAGCTAAGCTTAGAAGAAGGAACAACCTCATCCATTGTACACTAGAGCTCATCCATAGTTCGCGTAAGTTTTCAAATCTAAACTTAAACCTTCTATTATTATCGACAACCCCATACGCAATGCGGATTCAATTATTACAACTATTAATCTATTCATTAGAATCCATTAAAAGTAATAATTAAATTGATAATACGATTGCTATATGAAATCTTAGTCCTTCGTGCGCTTGTAGTAAGCATAGGTGGGGTGTTCTTAATAAAGGTGCAGATTTACGTGAACTATGGATGAGCTCTAGTGAACAAGTGATGAGCTACCCGCTAAGCTACGTCAAAGAATTCCGGTTTTAACAGGTTGTATATCGCTCATTTAATCACCCAAGATAGAATTGAGAATTAAGAATCGAGAAGTAGAACAGAATGGAATATAATATACCATACCATACCAAATAAAAAAAAGAAGGGTGGGGCGGTTAGAGAGAGAGAGAGAAAAGACAGCGTCAAATCAATCCAAGTGACATTCTCAAAAAGAAAGAAAGAGAATTTAGAACGAAGAGGTGTCTGTCTTATTCTGTTTGTATATATACGTGCTTGCTTGCCAAGAAAGGCGGAAAGCTCTAGCTCGGAAGCATCTCTGCCTATTGTCTATCTGTCTATCTATATCTCTGGCTATCCAAAAACCCTATATTCCCCCGGGGCTAGTTTTTGGTGCTAGTAATAGTAGTAATAATAACAACAATGACCCAGGACTTGTGACCACTTGGGGTAACAGAATTCCTGGTCGAGAGCTAGCTGGCTTGGACGCCCTGGTACGTAACTCACCCGACTAACTGACTTGCGAATATCGGACGAGGAAGGGAGACCGTCGCTCGACAGAGCCGCCCGAGCCCTGAAATGCTGGCCGCTATTTGCGCGGAGGTGGAGGGGGAGGAGACGTAATCAAAGCGCTATCTATACAAGCCCGTTGACTCGAGTTCTTTGATCATACAGTTATTACTATCAAAGAGTATACGATGGATAACCTTGCACAGAGAAAATACGGAGGCCGGCTGACAGCTGTACCAAAGACAATAAGGAAGCGATAAAGAGACTAGCTTCGTAGCGGCAGCAAAGTTAGCTGCCATCCCTTAAGGCTCAAGGCCAAAGACCAAAGGCCTCGAGCACCGGTTCCAGGTACCCGGATTGCGACCTGCAACAAAACCTTCAACTTCATGTCACAAGATAAGGACCTCTCGGGGATACTCTTCCTATTCGTGCTGGACGCGACGCGGAGTGAGGTTATAGAAAAGCGGATACTTCGTAGTAGACTTGGTAATTCATTCACCTGAGACTTAGAACGTCTTGCGTATAAGCCGAAAGCAGCCGAGAGACCTATGGTATGCTATGCAGAAAGGCTCTAATTAATATTCAGTACAAACTAGTAGATTGACAAGATCAGATAAGATACCCAATTCATAATTGATAGTAGTGTATTCTATAAATTTGTGTTCGGATATTACCACAGCACAGATGGATAGGTAGACCAAGAGGCAAGATCCCACCTCTCCCTCTCCCCCTTCACAAAAGAGCAAGTACTGGCTAAAACAAAGTGCTATTCCGGACCATAATCCCTACTCCGTAGGCGTACAAAAACTATCAAGTTCAAGGTCCAAGAGAACGGCAACTCCTTCACTTTACGGATAGAGACGTGGTACAAGAACTGTGCCAAACAAAGATATGAAGCTTTGACGAGGAGCAAACCGAGAGATCTATCATAACGAGTCTCTGCAAGAACCTAGCGTGACGAAGCGTGACGTACAAAGTTACGTAGAATACAGTAATCAAAAAAAGGTCCAGGATATTTTCAGGCTACGGATGTATAACATGTACGATGAGATCTGGAAGAGCAGAGAAAGATGCAAGCTAAGACCTCCGAGCGCCTCACTCCCCTTAGAAGTATTTTCCCACGGCCGGGCTCACAGGTACTTGGCGAAGAGGCAGGAGCCAGTCCATATAACAGTACGTTATCGTGCGATGTGCAACAAAAGTTCGAGTATCGGAAGAGAACGAAATAGAGCGCATGGCAATAGCACCCATGCGGCTGGAATGTCTGGAGTTGGCAGCTGTAAACGAGAGACTTGACAGACTACTTAAGCTTTGACTGAGGCTAGTGAGGCATGCGTAAGATCACTGTGATGGGCTTTGCATGCGAGTGCAACTTGTCATCTGTGCGATAGGTATCAAAGAATGCTTCTCGGTAGAGAAGAGCATGGTGCTTATTATACCGTGGATGAGATGTGTCATCGACATAGAAAACGGCACAGAAGCCCTACCACCTGTTCATATATCGCCTCTTACTTACGGCCAGTAATATGACGAGAGTAAGAGGAAGAAGGGATATCGGGACACATATGGGACAATGTGATGATGATAGCTAGAGGTGAAGGAAGGACATAGCCAAAATTGACTACATACATTTTTCAAAAACCGGCTCACTTGTATCATTCCGAAGAGAACCGAGCACTAACATTTTGTTGCTCGAGATTACTGGGAGCATATGAAGGCTAATTAATTTAAAGCTCCGTGGAAACAACTGAAATGGATATATAGTGCTGTTTAGAGCGACCCAAGCGGTCACCTGACCCATTTCCACACAAAAAAAATTCAACAGAATTCTGCGATGTGCAACAAAACACCAGATGATGGGACCGAGCACTTGCATCTGACTTGCTAAGACCGTAGAGAAGTCGATGGAGAGAGAGACGCCGTAGAAGAAAGACGTCGGGCAGACAGACTACTACGTCAACGAAATATTTAAGCGAAGGTCGGCCCCCTAAAGCGGTGCAAGCGCACATAAACGGAGGTAGCTTCAGAATAGCACAAAAAGATAAGAGCTTGCCCGATACTTCAATTCTATAATTCACAGCTAAAGTGCTTAGCTGCCAGTCCGATATCCGAGAGGGATTTGCGGAGTAGAAAAAAACTCAGACGTAAAGAGTTTTTTATCGGAATTTGGGAGCCAGCGCTAGGTGGTGGTACACCCACCGCTCTCCTTGGGCCGTTCGAAAAAGTAAAGATGGTATTCCTAAGCGGAGATAGCCAGCTCTCATATTCGAGTAGAGAGAACGGAATGTCCGAAATCCACCTTTCTGTCTTATTGTGGTCTAGATATCTGGCAGGTCAATGTAAGACATCTATCGGGTGGAATGGTGGAATCGGTAATCTTCTGCGTCATGAAGGGAGTCTAGATTTCAGAATTACAACAATACTGAAATCCTCGGCTATGTATCGACATGGTGGCCCGGGAATGGCGGATTCCTTTGTGAACAGTCTCTCAGATTCACAACCATATGGTACGAGCCAAAACAATTTGGTACCAGCTCGTACCGATGGATGGTACTTTGTTATGGGTCAACCTGAGTCCAGCTTAGTATGAAGTTTTAGAGGGAGGCATGCAGGCCAGACCTACATGCCAAACTTGGCCTCTCAGACTAAATAATAGTGTGGTTAGCTTCCTCAACAAGGAGATTGCGTGGTCATTTGGTCTTTGGCTTCCGAATAATGACCTTGGTGCCTTCCAATTGCCACCCGACACCATATTCCTTAGCTAGCAACGGCCACGGGGTATTCGTATACAGTTCCACAGAACTTAGATCAATGCTGAGGTAGCTTCGACCCAGACACTTCAACGCCTGCCTCTTCATCATATCCTCAGCGAACTCCATAAGCTTAGCCTTGTGTCCATCCACACTCCTCTTCACCCTCCAGAACAGATAATAATTGTCGTGCGTAAGTGCTCGTAGAAGAGCGTCCACCTTCGGGTCGCGTAGACGGTGTTCACGCCGTACCAGATACGCCTGTGACAACTCGTTCTGCCTGCAAGCAAGGTCCAAAACCCAATACCCCACAAACTCCTGCACTTCCGTGCTAGTGAGAGGCTGCACCGTGTGCATTCTCTTGAGGAGATGTAGTATGGCGGGATGGTAGGATTCCATATGTTTGACCAGTATCGAGAGCCTGATGCAGAATATATACGCCTGTATCGAGAAGTCGTCCACCCTCTTTGAAGCCACGATCCCCTCCCGAAGCTTCCGCATTGCCATTATCAAGACCGAGAGATCTTTCTGCCCTGAGACGTCTGCGTTGTCGGCCATTGTATTCATTGATATTGTGGGGGTAGCAGGAGCTGTCTTCGGTCGCTGGTTCTCGGCGCTGCTCTCGTGGGATATGCCCATACGTGCCATCCGCCGTCGAAGTTCATCGCCTCGTCCTGCTTCGGAGCAGAATGCCATATATCGCTCGACAATCTTCGTGTAGTATCGCTCTTGTGCTCTGTGATCGAGAAGCCTGGTAGCGAGTTAGTGATACCAGGTAAGGAATGATGTTGACATTCAGTACTTGCCTATTGTCGCCCTTCGATGGTAGGCCGATTTCCTCGAGAGGATCCCCATTCACAGGTTTTAGTCGACCCCATGGTCCTGAGGGCGTGCGACCACTACGCGAAGACATTGATTGGGCATATAGAGCGAGTGTAGTAGTGGGTCGTAATGTTTGTTGATGTTGTCGCGATGGAGGGGCATCTTTCTGCCTTGAGCGTCAGGAGTCAACTTTGTTAGTGCGGAACGCCCTCGGTAGCAGCAACGACCCGCTCTCAACATTCTGCATACTTACTTATCATGGAGTCGCAATCCCTATTACTGCTTGGATTTGTACATTTCAATTCCGAGCCTTCTTTGTGGTTACCGGGAACCTCTGTCGAAATTTCTTTACCGTAAATACGGCTCTTTCCCCACCTCTACAGTCCTGCAATCAATCGAACCTCATGTCGGTCCGGCAGAGAAGGGGGTCGACGAGCGAGATTATCAAGGATGCCGCAAAGAATCTGGAGAAACGCGTCGAAAATGTTCTGACCGTGTTATGGGATGATCTGCCTTCCTGGCAACAAGACAATCATTATATCCACTCAGGATATCGCCCAGCATCCGAGTCCTTCAAAAAGTCATTCGCCAGTCTCGGTTACCTCCACAATGAGTCTGTCAACATCTACTCCCATCTGCTGGGGGCATTGATCTTCTCAGTGGCTGGAGTCGTCATCTACGCTGCTGTGAAGCCGAGATACGAGACAGCAGCATCCTCGGACATTCTGGCCTTTGGGTGCTTCTTCCTGGGTGCTGCCCTATGTCTTGGTATGTCTGGAACATATCATACAATTTCGAACCACTCCCCGCTTGTTTCCAAGTTTGGCAATAAGTTGGACTACGTTGGGATTGTGCTTTTGATCACGGGCAGTTTTATACCGAGTATCTATTACGGGTTTTACTGTCATCCCCACCTGCAAGAGTTTTACTGGACTATGGTATGTTTTCATAGGGCCCTCGATGTGAGGTAAGACTGAACGACTGAACTTCGGCACTTGGCCTATAGATATCTTCTCTGGGAACTGGCTGCGCTGCAGTATCAATATTCGAGCGCTTCAGGACCCCAGCTTGGCGGCCATACCGAGCGGGCATGTTCGTCCTGATGGGTTTGTCGGCAGTTTTTCCTGTCTTCCACGGATTGGAGATGTTTGGCTTCAGGGAGATGCAGAGCCGAATTGGTCTTACCTGGTTGGTTCTGCAGGGAGTCTTCTATATTATGGGAGCTGGACTATACGCTGTGAGTTATCCTGCTCTGGGTAGCTCGTCTGAGATGCTGAGTGATACTTAGGCTCGCTGGCCCGAACGCTCATGGCCCGGGTCGTTCGACATCTGGGGAAGCTCTCACCAGATTTTCCACGTACTTGTAGTCATGGCTGCGGCATCGCATTTATATGGACTGTTAAAGGCGTTCGATTTTCATCATGGAGCTCCTGGCATCACGTGCTAGCTGACTAGCGATGGAAGATAAACGAAGACGAATAAATGATAGAGTTGAGATGATGTTAACATTTGACTTTATCGTTCACCTTCCTACTGGTAGGCAGGTATATTTTCTCGTTTATTTGACATAGTAAATAAACAGTATTGCCTCGGGTTCGAGTACTATTCGGCAAGACTTCGGTAGCCTCGGCTCGGCAGCCCCATTGCAGATCCGGGGTACAGTAGCTATAGGTATATGAGAAGTATCGTGGAGCTTCCCCGCCAATCGTGGGAAACTCTTCTTCTGTTTTCTAATCTTCAATTCAAAAAACATGAGACCCAACTTCTCTTTCCTTGTAGCGTAACAAACGCTTCTGCATTTTTTGCTACCACCCATATTCAAGTAACGTATTCTCAAGATGGCAGAGCGAGCTGCCCAGATCGCCAGCCATCTCAATTACCCCAAGGGTATGTTGGCCGGGCAGGTCGCTATCATTACCGGTTCAGGTCAAGGAATTGGTGCCGAAGCAGCGAGGTTATTCGCAAATGAAGGCGCCAAAGTGATCGTGTCGGATATTGATGGGAGTATGCTGTCTCGCATTGGTTGGAAAAGGGCAATGTTGATACGAAGGCAATAGCGAAAGCAAGGCAGGTTGCCGACAACATCAACAAGTCCGGTGGCAAGGCTCTAGCTGTCGCTGGCGATATGCTGGATGCCGAATACCTCAAAACTCTCGTCAAGAAGGCAGCATAATTTGGCAATGGCAAGATTCACATCATCGTCAACAATGCCGGGTGAGCTCCTCTCAACAAGAACCATGGGAGCAACCGCTGACGGATTTGATAGATACACCTGGGACGGCGTGATCCACAAGGTATAATAGCATTCTGGAATTCGCGACCTCTCTGCGAGCTGGCAAATGATTTTGACCAGCACTGACGCAAGGCATTATAGATGACCGACAAACAATGGGAAAATATCATCGCCCTTCACAACACCGCCCCCTTCAAGCTCGTCCGCGAAGCCGCTCCCTACTTCCGTGTCACCAACGGCGAGCCCCGCTGCATCATCAATATTTCCTCGACCTCGGGCGTACACGGTATTGCCGGCCAAGCTAACTACGGTGTTGCAAAATCGGGCATCAATGGCCTTACGAAGGTCATTGCGAAGGAATGAGGCCCGAAGTTTGGCGTCCGCGCGAACAGCATTGCGTTTGGAAATATTTCGACGATGTTGACGGCGGCCAAGGAGGATGGAGCATTTGTGACGACGCCGGATGGAGAGAAGATTGCTTTGGGCATACCGAAGGGACAGGGGAGCCAGCAAGCTAATGCGAACTTGGATATTCCGCTTCGAAGGCCAGGATCGGCTACGGAGGCTGCGAGTTCCATCTTGGCCGTTGCGAGTCCGCTGTTTAGTTATATCACGGGACAGGTGCTCATGGTTACTGGAGGGAGGAACATGTAGCAATGGGCTAATCAAAGTAATGTCGGATTCTGATAGTACCTGCGCAGTGGATTTGAAATACGAGGCTTCCCTCCTCTCGACAACTTTTTCATCGGCGAGAATTTCATATAGTCGGGGGACTAGATACTAGTGTTTCGGGAGCAGCTTGAAGGTGGCAGTGCTTCGCCCACAGCAGACTTTTTAAGCTTCACGCCGAGCTCCGCAAAGGCTTCAACGATGCACGCAAGTACAAGCTCTTCCTGCATTGGCTTGATTCTAGTCCAGTATCCAGTGAGCCCACGACGATCAGCTTGTCTTGCATGCATTTTCCCAGTGCTGCAACGAGATGACACCTGTTAAATATGATGCTTCTAATTTTTTTT